ACAAGAGTTCTTTCTCCCAACCTGGACATTATTCCACAGATAGATATAGGACTCACCCAAGCAGGAAGCAGCCAGGCTTTGAAGCTGCAAGGCCACTCAATGCTAATCAAGCTGGCCAATGGCAACATTCACATTTGCCTCCAACAGACAAGAGTTCTTTCTCCCACCCTGGACATCATTCCACAGGTGGATATAGGACTCCCCGAGACAGGAAGCAGCCAAGCTTTGAAGCTGCAAGGCCACTCAATGCTGGCCAAGCTGGCCAATGGCAACATTCACACTTGCCTCCAACAGACAAGAGTTCTTTCTCCCACCCTAGACATCATTCCACAGGTAGATATAAGACTCCCCCAAGCAGGAAGCAGCCAGGCTTTGAAGCTGCAAGGCCACTCAATGCTAATCACGCTGGCCAATGGCAACATTCACACTTGCCTCCAACAGACAGGAGTTCTTTCTCCCAACCTGGACATTATTCCACAGATAGATATAGGACTCACCCAAGCAGGAAGCAGCCAGGCTTTGAAGCTGAAAGGCCACTCAATGCTAATCAAGCTGGTCAATGGCAACATTCACATTTGCCTCCAACAGACAAGAGTTCTTTCTCCCACCCTGGACATCATTCCACAGGTGGATATAGGACTCCCCGAGGCAGGAAGCAGCCAAGCTTTGAAGCTGCAAGGCCACTCAATGCTGGCCAAGCTGGCCAATGGCAACATTCACACTTGCCTCCAACAGACAAGAGTTCTTTCTCCCACCCTAGACATCATTCCACAGGTAGATATAAGACTCCCCCAAGCAGGAAGCAGCCAGGCTTTGAAGCTGCAAGGCCACTCAATGCTAATCACGCTGGCCAATGGCAACATTCACACTTGCCTCCAACAGACAGGAGTTCTTTCTCCCACCCTGGACATCATTCCACAGGTGGATATAGGACTCCCCAGGCAGGAAGCAGCCAGGCTTTGAAGCTGCAAGGCCATTCAATGCTAATCAAGCTGGCCAATGGCAACATTCACACTTGCCTCCAACAGACAAGAGTTCTTTCTCCCAACCTGGACATTATTCCACAGATAGATATAGGACTCACCCAAGCAGCAGCCAGGCTTTGAAGCTGCAAGGCCATTCAATGCTAATCAAGCTGGCCAATGGCAACATTCACACTTACCTCCAACAGACAAAAGTTCTTTCTCCCACCTTGGACGTCATTCCACAGATAGATATAGGACTCCCCCAAACAGGAAGCAGCCAGGCTTTGGAGCTGTAAGGTCACTCAATGCTAATCAAGCTGGCCAATGGCAACATTCACACTTACCTCCAACAGACAAGAGTTCTTTCTCCCACCCTGGACGTTATTCCGCAGATATATAAACCGCACTTGCACAGTTTCCAACAGACCTCACAACCTCTGAGGATGCCTGCCATAGATGTGGGCGAAATGTCAGGAGAGAATGCTTCTGGAACACGGCCATACAGCCTGGAAAACTCCCAGCTATCCAGCGATTCTGGCCATGAAAGCTTTCAACAACACAATAAGTAAATTGGGTTGTTGTAGATTTTTTGGGCAATATAGCTATGTTCTAGAAGCATTCTCTCCTGACATTTCGCCTCCATCTATGGCAAGCATCCTCAGAAGTTGTGAGGTCAGAGGATGCTTGCCATAGATGCAGGCAAAATGTCAGGTGTGAATGCTTCTAGTACATGGCCCCATATAGCCCGAAAAACCTACAACAACCCAGTGATTCCAGCCATGACAGCCTTCGTCAATACATACAATAAATAAATTGTTTGTATTACCAGTGTAATACCCATATTTGCAGGACTTGTAGTTTCACGTACCCAGGTCTGAAAATATACTTTCTCTCTAGACATTTTCTAGGTCCTATATTATTGTTATGTTTCCAAAAAAGTTGTTCAGTCAGGTTCACTCTTTCCCATGGTTGTGCATGAGCAAGGAATGTGATGTGGCGGCAAAAAAAGCCAATGGGATTTTGGCCTGCATCAAGAGGAGCCTAGTGTCTAGATCTAGGGAAGTCATGCTCCCCATGCTCTATTCTGCCTTGGTTAGACCACACCTGGAATATTGTGTCCAATTCTGGGCACCACAATTCAAGAGAGATATTGACAAGCTGGAATGTGTCCAGAGGAGGGCGACTAAAATGATCAAGGGTCTGGAGAACAAGCCCTATGAGGAGCGGCTTAGGGAATGGCATGTTTAGCCTGAAGAAGAGAAGGCTGAGAGGAGATATGATAGCCATGTATAATATGTGAGAGGAAGCCACAGGGAGGAGGGAGCAAGCTTGTTTTCTGCCTCCTTGGAGACTAGGACGCGGAACAATGGCTTCAAACTACAAGAGAGGAGATTCCATCAGAACATTAGGAAGAACTTCCTGACTGTGAGAGCCGTTCAGCAGTGGAACTCTCTGCCCCGGAGTGTGGTGGAGGCTCCTTCTTTGGAAGCTTTTAAACAGAGGCTGGATGGCCATCTGTCAGGGGTGATTTGAATGCAATATTCCTGCTTCTTGGCAGAATGGGGTTGGACTGGATGGCCCATGAGGTCTCTTCCAACTCTTTGATTCTATGATTCTATGATTCTATTAACTAATGCAGCGTATTTAATACCCAGTGCACTTTCACGCTGTGTTTATTGTCGGCCTCGCTGTTTGCTTCCCGATGTGAGCAAGGTTAACGGGAAGGAAATTGCTTTTCGAATGTGAACCATCCACTTGTGATTAAAAGGCAACTGGAGGATGAAAACAGAGCCTTGAAATGCCTCGCCTTCCCTTGGCAAAACCTGATTCAGTCGCTTCCCGGTGTCTCTTGATTGGGAAAGCAACATCAGAGAGAGGCCAAGATAGAAAAAGGTTTGAACGAGGCTGAATCGACAAGCTAAGAAAGGCCACAGAAAGGCCCAAAAAATTCACAGCAACCCAGTGATTCCAGCCATGAAAGCCTTCGACAATACAATGGCTGTTTCAAATAAAACATAAAGTCCAGAGAATGCTACTTGCACATACAATTGCCTTCATGCTATGCATATATGCAAGATCAATGGATGGTGTGTTACGACTTATTTATTATTTATTTATTTACTTTATTTGTATACCGCACTCTCTCAGCCCGTAGGCGACTCAGTGCGGTTTACAACCAGGTCAATATACAAAGTGCACAACAATAGTATTAGCATTTAAAAAACAGTAACTAAAGCAACTAAATCACATAGCAAAACATCAGTATAACAATATAACAACAATACATCCATATAACTAATCCATCACGTCTCATCAATAAAGTCATAATCCGATCTCCTCGTCTATTATTCCAAGTTCCAAGTTCCAATCTCAATCAATTGATTGCACTGCTTAATTAAACGCCTGTTCAAAGAGCCAGCAGGGAGGGGGCCGATCAGATGTCTGCGGGAAGGGCGTTCCACAGCCGAGGGGCCACCACTGAGAAGGCCCTGTCTCTCGTCCCCGCCAGCCGTGCCTGCGAGGCTGGCGGGATTGAGAGCAGGGCCTCCCCGGACAATCTTAATGTCCTAACTGGTTCATAGGGGGTGATGCGTTCGGACAGATAGGTCGGACCAGAACCGTTTAGGGCTTTAAAGGCTAAAGCCAGCACTTTGAATTGTGCCCGGTAGCAAACTGGCAGCCAGTGGAGCTGGCGCAACAGAGGAGTGTATGCTCCCTGAGTGCCGCTCCTGTTAGCAACCTGGCTGCCGAACGCTGGACCATTTGAAGCTTCCGAGCAGTCTTCAAAGGCAACCCCACGTAGAGAGCGTTGCAGTAGTCTATACGGGATGTAACCAGTGTGTGGACTACCGTGGCCAAGTCAGACTTCCCAAGGTACGGGCGCAACTGGCGCACAAGTTTTAACTGTGCGAATGCTCCCCTGGTCACCGCCGAAACCTGGGGTTCCAGGTTCAGCGATGAATCCAGGATCACACCCAAGCTGCGAACCTGCGTCTTCAGGGGGAGTGGGACCCCATCCAACACCGACTGTAACCCTATACCCTGCTCGGCCTTACGACTGACCAGGAGTACCTCTGTTTTGCCTGGATTCAGTTTCAATTTGTTCGCCTTGGGTCTGCTCTCCAAGATATCACCAATGTGCAAATATGGGTGTTCAGCTCCTATGGTGTAACTCTGAAGCCAGGGGCGGCTCGTCCATTACGCGAAGTAAGCGGTCGCAGAACACTTTTTTTGCCAGGGGTGCAGAGGCACCTCTGTAAATGCCCCTCGACCGCCACTTGAGGAGCGCCCCTCAGCTCACAACAGCCCTAGCAGTCCAGGAGGAGCCTCAGCTTTCTTGCCTCGCTGCCGGGCAAGTATCTTCCCAAAGGGGCCGGGCCCTTGAGCCCCCGGCGCTCCACCCGCCTCCTCTCCTCTCCCCAATCCGCGGGTGGGCCAAGGGGTGGAGCTACCGCGTCTGGCCCGCTTTGGGTCCGGAGGTGTGTCTGAAGACCCCAGCGTGCGCACCAAAAGTCGCCATTGGGACCAAGAGAGAGAGAGAGAGAGAGCCCCTCCGGCTGGAGGTATCTCCCACCTCCGCTCCCTCCTTTGTTTTTGCGCCTACCTTCAGGAAAGGTGGGCATCTCCACCTCTCTCTCTCTCTCTCTCTCTCTCTCTTGGTCCCAATGGCTGAGGAGAAAGTCAGGAGAAGAGGTGACTTTTGGTGCACCTCTTCAGGCACACCTCCGGACCCAAAGCGGGCCAGGCAAGGGAGCAAGTGCGGCAAGTGTAGTTACTGGGATGTATAGTTCACCTACAATCAAAGAGCATTCTGAACTCCACCAATGATGGAATTGAACCAAATATGGCACACAGAACTCCCACGACACAGAAAATATATATCAATGATTGGTTTTGGGGGGGGGGGGCGCCAAAATACTGTTTGCTTACCATTGAAAATTACCTAGGGCCGCCTCTGTCTGAAGCATAGCCCTCTCGGCCAAACACAAGCTTGGTCTATATTAAGGGTCTTCTCTTCTGCTTCTTCCTCCCCAGTATCTACTTTTGGTACGAAATGAGATGACTGTTTCCCAGAAGCATTTGGGCGAGTTCTGCGGCTCCCTTAAACAGTACTTGAAGAACGTGGCAGGAGAACAAGACTGCTTCCAGTAAGTACAACATCCATGGGTTTGCAATAAAATAAGACATATTTGGACAGGAGCAGGACTTCTGGCATGGGTTCCCTACAAGCAAGGATGCACAGATCTGAAAAAACTTCAAATTTTACCCTCTGTTTAATGGTGTAGTGGGTTAAACCGCTGAGTTGCTGAGATTGCTGACCGAAAGGTCGCCGGTTTGAATCTGGGGAGCACGGTGAGCTCCCACTGTTAGCCCCAGCTTCTGCCAACCTAGCAGTTCGAAAACATGCAAATGTGAGTAGATCAATAGGTACTGCTCCGGTGGGAAAGTAACAGCGCTTCATGCAATCATGCTGCCCATATAACCGTGGAGGTGTCTACGGACAACGCCGATGAGCACCAATCCCCAGAGTTAGACACGACTCGACTTAATATCAGGGGAAAACCTTTACTTTTACCTTTTAATGATGCTGTGCTCTGTCCTAAGAAAGTCATTATCTGACTGTTAGAATCATAGAATCAAAGAGTTGGAAGAGACCTCATGGGTCATCCAGTCCAACCCTCTGCCAAGAAGCAGGAATATTGCATTCAAATCACCCCTGACAGATGGCCATCCAGCCTCTGTTTAAAAGCTTCCAAAGAAGGAGCCTCCACCACACTCCGGGGCAGAGAGTTCCACTGCTGAACGGCTCTCACAGTCAGGAAGTTCTTCCTCATGTTCAGATGGAATCTCCTCTCTTGTAGTTTGAAGCCATTATTCAGTGTCCTAATCTCCAGGGAAGCAGAAAACAAGCTTGCTCCCTATGACTTCCTCTCACATATTTATACATGGCCTTCGTCATGTCTCCTCTCATCCTTCTCTTCTTCAGGCTAAACATACCCAGCTCCTTAAACCGCTCCTCATAAGGTTTGTTCTCCAGACCCTTGATCATTTAGTCACCCTCCTATGGACACATTCCAGTTTGTCAACATCTCCTTTCAATTGTGGTGCCCAGAATTGGACAGAATATCCCAGATGTGGTCTAACCAAGGCAGAATAGAGGGGTAGCATGACTTCCCTGGATCTAGACACTATGCTCCTATTGATGCAGGCCAAAATCCCATTGGCTTTTTTTGCCGCCACATCACATTGGCTCATGTTTAACTTGTTGTCCACGAGGACTCCAAGATCTTTTTCACACGTACTGCTCTCGAGCCAGGCATTGTCCCCTATTTTGTATCTTTGCATTTCGTTTTTCCTGCCAAAGTGGAGTATCTTGCATTTGTCCCTGTTGAACTTCATTTTGTTAGTTTTGGCCCATCTCTCTAATCTGTCAAGATCTTTTTCACACATACTCTCTTGAGCCAGGCATTGCCCCCCTTCTGTCTCTTTGCATTTCGTTTATTTCTGCCTAAGTGGAGTATCTTGCATTTGTCCCTGTTGAACTTCATTTTGTTAGTTTTGACCAATCATCTCTCTAATCTGTCAAGATCGTTTTGAATCCTGCTCCTGTCCTCTGGAGTATTGGCTCTCCTTCCCAATTTGGTGTCATCTGCAAACTTGATGATCATGCCTTCTAAACGGCAAAAAAAGCCAATGGGATTTTGGCCTGCATCAATAGGAGCCTAGTGTCTAGATCTAGGGAAGTCATGCTACCCCTCTATTCTGCTTTGGTTAGACCACACCTGGAATATTGTGTCCAATTCTGGGCACCACAATTCAAGAGAGATATTGACAAGCTGGAATGTGTCCAGAGGAGGGCGACTAAAATGATCAAGGGTCTGGAGAACAAGCCCTATGAGGAGCGGCTTAAGGAGCTGGGCATGTTTAGCCTGAAGAAGAGAAGGCTGCGAGGGGATATGATAGCCATGTATAAATATGTGAGAGGAAGCCACAGGGAGGAGGGAGCAAGCTTGTTTTCTGCTTCCTTGGAGACTAGGACGCGGAACAATGGCTTCAAACTACAAGAGAGGAGATTCCATTTGAACATTAGGAAGAACTTCCTGACTGTGAGAGCCGTTCAGCAGTGGAACTCTCTGCCCCGGAGTGTGGTGGAGGCTCCTTCTTGGAAGCTTTTAAACAGAGGCTGGATGGCCATCTGTCAGGGGTGATTTGAATGCAATATTCCTGCTTCTTGGCAGAAAGGGGTTGGACTGGATGGCCCATGAGGTCTCTTCCAACTCTTTGATTCTATGATTCTATGAAACCTTCATCTAAGTCATTAATAAAGATGCAAAAACAAATTGTGCAGTTTGATAAACTTTTCCCATGTTTTTATGATAGAGCCCATTATGAAATGACACTGATAACTCAGGAACAAAAATTGTGTTGACATAGTGTTATGTAAAACATTGCAATAGACAGAAACCCGCTCCTTTTTGATCCAGGAGTGTTCAAAAATTTCCAACACATGGGCATCAAGGCTATCATGAGCTGTTCTCTAGGTGAGAAATCACAAAAATGGTGATGACATAGGTACATTCTCGTTGGCTCGCAATCAGCCGTATTATCTGTTGCGAGAAGTTTGCATTGAACGCTGATTGCCATCACCAAAAATCAGAGACCGTCAAGCATCACGAAGTTTGCAACCTCATTTGACAATGTGGGACTAGCAACAGAACGAGGCAGGAGACTGGTACATGGATGGCATTTCCATCTGCCATAGGGATGCCATGTTTTTGTGACTGTTGTCCCTGTTTCTTTTCTCTGTCACAGCGTAACTGCAGTGCGGCTCCCCGACGGTGCCACCTTCATTGTGTATGAGTTTTGGGAGACCGAGGCGGACTGGAAAAGGTAAGGTGAAAAGCAAGGTGAGGGCATGGGCAAACTTGGGCCCTCCAGGTGTTTTGGACTCCAACTCCCACAATTCCTAACAGCCGATAGGCTGTTAGGAATTGTGGGAGTTGAAGTCCAAAACACCTGGAGGGCCCAAGTTTGCCCATGCCTTAAGTATATTAAAAATACTTAAATAAGTGGTCCAGTGAAGTAAAGGGGGTGAAGGATTTGTAACATTGGCATCACAATTGTGACAACCTAGCATTTTATTAATTAGTTTATTGGTATTAAGGTTATTTATAATGGATAAAATAAGGCATATTTCTGAGTGGGTGTACTCAGTAAATGCCAAGACCAGGATGGAGGGCGAAAGGTGAATGTCTCCAACGGCCTCCCTCCATATTTGCAAACACTTGCTATTTGCTCTTTTAAGAAAAGTAACCAAGTGGTTGCTTATTGTATAAATCAATTTATTTTGTTTGTTTGTGTATAATTGTGGAGGAAGGCATGGAATCAAGTTGGTGGGCATGAATGTAGGCATGGGAGCAGGCGTGGGTGCCCGTTGGCAGGCATGTAGGTAGACAGGAGGCAAGCATGGAGGCATATTCGCAGGCATGAAGGTAGGCATGGAAGCATGTTGGCAGGCATGGAGGTAGGTATAGATGCACATTGGCAGGCATGGAAGCAGGCATGGATATTGGCAGGCATGGAAGCATGTTGGCAGGCATGGAGGTAGGTATGGATACACGGCAGGTTTGGAAACAAATATGGAAACAGGCATGGATGCACATTAGCAGGCATGGAGGCATGTTGGCAGGCATGGAGGAAGGCATGGAAGCAGGCATGGACACACATTGGCAGGCATGGGGGTAGGCATGGAAACAGGCATGGAGGCAAGTTGGCAGGCATGGAGGTAGGTATGGATGCATATTGGGGGCATGGAAGTAGACAGGAGGTAAGCATGGAGGCATATTGGCAGGCATGGATGCACATTAGCAGGCATGGAGGTAGGCATGGAAGCAGGCATGGACGCATGTTGGCAGGCATGGAAGCAGGCATGGACGCACATTGGCAGGCATGGAGGTAGGCATGGAAACAGGCATGGATGCACATTGGCATGCATGGAAACAGGCATGGAGGCAGGCATGGAGGTAGATATGGATGCACATTGGCGGGCATAGAGGCAGGCATGGAAGCATGTTGGTAGGCATGGAGGTAGGTATGGATGCACGTTGGCAGGTTTGGAAGCAGGCATGGAAACAGGCATGGATGCACATTCGCAGGCATGGAAGTAGGCATGGAGGTATGTTGGCAGGCATGGTGGTAGGTACGGATGCACTGGAGGCAGGCATGGAAACAGGCATGGATGCACATTGGCAGGCATGGAGGTAGGCATGGAAACAGGCATGGACACACATTGGCAGGCATGGAGGTAGGCATGGAAACAGGCATGGAGGCAAGTTGGCAGGCATGGAGGTAGGTATGGATGCATATTGGGGGCATGGAAGTAGACAGGAGGTAAGCATGGAGGCATATTGGCAGGCATGGATGCACATTAGCAGGCATGGAGGTAGGCATGGAAGCAGGCATGGAAGCAGGCATGGAGGTATGTTGGCAGGCATGGTGGTAGGTACGGATGCATGGAGGCAGGCATGGAAACAGGCATGGATGCACATTGGCAGGCATGGAGGTAGGCATGGAAACAGGCATGGACACACATTGGCAGGCATGGAGGTAGGCATGGAAACAGGCATGGAGGCAAGTTGGCAGGCATGGAGGTAGGTATGGATGCATATTGGGGGCATGGAAGTAGACAGGAGGTAAGCATGGAGGCATATTGGCAGGCATGGATGCACATTAGCAGGCATGGAGGTAGGCATGGAAGCAGGCATGGACGCATGTTGGCAGGCATGGAAGCAGGCATGGACGCACATTGGCAGGCATGGAGGTAGGCATGGAAACAGGCATGGATGCACATTGGCATGCATGGAAACAGGCATGGAGGCAGGCATGGAGGTAGATATGGATGCACATTGGCGGGCATAGAGGCAGGCATGGAAGCATGTTGGTAGGCATGGAGGTAGGTATGGATGCACGTTGGCAGGTTTGGAAGCAGGCATGGAAACAGGCATGGATGCACATTCGCAGGCATGGAAGTAGGCATGGAGGTATGTTGGCAGGCATGGTGGTAGGTACGGATGCATGGAGGCAGGCATGGAAACAGGCATGGATGCACATTGGCAGGCATGGAGGTAGGCATGGAAACAGGCATGGACACATGTTGGCAGGCATGGAGGCAGGTATAGATGCATGTTGGTGGGCATGGAGGTAGGCATGTTGGCAGGCAAGGAAAGTTGGAGGCAGGCATGGAGGCAGGCATGGAAGGAAGCAAGTTGGCAGGCATGGAGGGAGGTATGGATGCACATTGGCGAGCATGGAGGTAGGCATGTTGTCAGGCAAGGAACTTTAGAGGCAGGCATGGAGGCAAGTGGGTATACATGGAGTCAAGGAGGCTTGGAGGCAGGCATGGATGAAGGCAAATTGGTGGGAATGGAGACAAAGGGGCTTGGAACCATGCAAAGAGGCAAGCATGGAGATACGGATAGATATAACACATGCATGTATCATAAGTGGCAAAAACTTGATTTCCATTGTTAAGACTCACTGCAGGAGTGCAATACTACACTACAGGGCTATTCTTCCAAGTGTGATGCCAGGAGAAAGCTGGGCTTGTGCTGAAGTCAAACCATTACAGGCGTCCTTTATATGCGTATATATACATCTGTCCTCACTCCAACCTCCTTGCCAATTTCTTTTGGGGGGGTTTAACACCAGCATCTGGACTCCAGCTCCCCCACCATCCCCTGCAGAGCCATCTGAACGTAGGCAGCCCCTCCGCAGCCATCTGTCTTTCTGGCCATGGCTGCTTCGCTCGGCCGCTGGCCCAGAGCCCAGGATTTCAGCATTTCAGCCCTGGCACACCTGAGCTTAGGGGCCGCTGAGTCCGTGGCTGTGAGCATCACTGTACCATATAAGGCATCATGGTTTTCTGTGCAAAGAGGCTTTGCCATGGAGATGAAAGGGAGAAGCAAATATGGAGAAAGAATACAGGGAAGGAGGAGATGGACGGATGGATGGACATATACACTCCACCTTAGTACTACAAACATTTTTGCCATTCTTTGATCAAGAGTAGTTCTGGTATTATCATACAGAAACACACAGGGAAAGTAGACAATATCTTGTTAAGACATCTGTTCCACCCTTCCAGCCAACTACATTTGGGTCTCCACTTCGGAAAGGTCACTCCTTTTAATGGGAATTCATGGCTCAGGAAAAGACAACAAAGACAGAGTTCATGGCTTTTAGAAAAATGGTAAATTAAGGTGTTTTTTCTGCATTGTCTTCCTGCTCCAGTCACCTACAGAGTCCTGCCTGTAAAACCTTCCAGCATGTGAAGGTGGACACACTGACTCAGCCAGAAGCGGTTTCCAGCGTGTTTGTGCCAGGTAGGGATCCGTAATCTGATCCAAAAGGATAAACTGGGACACAAGGTCTCTATAGAGTAGCATAGATATTGGTATACCCATAGTACCAATACAAGCCTGCAGATTGGTCTAGACCAGAGGTCCACAAACTATTTATTTATTGTGTTGTTGAAGGCTCTCATGGCCAGAATCGCTGGGTAGCTGGGAGTTTTCCAGGCTGTACGGCCGTGTTCCAGAAGCATTCTCTCCTGACGTTCGCCCACATCTATAGCAGGCATCTTGAGAGGTTGTGTGGTCCATGTATTGTCGAAGGCTTTCATGGCTGGAATCACTAGGTTCTTGTGGGTTTTTTCGGGCTATATGGCCATGTTCTAGAGGCATTTCTCCTGACGTTTCGCCTGCATCTATGGCAAGCATAGAGTAGAATAACTCTGAGGATGCTTGCCATAGATGCAGGCGAAACGTCAGGAGAAATGCCTCTAGAACATGGCCATATAGCCCGAAAAAACCCACAATAACCTGTTGTGTGGTCTGTTAAAAACTATGCAAATGGAGTTTCTATATCTGTGGAATGATGTCCAGGGTGGGAGAAAGAACTCCTGTCTGTTGGAGACAAGTGTGAATGTTGCAATTGGTCACCTTGATTATTTATTTATTTTATTTATTTATTCACAATGGGGTATAAATATAGTAAATAAATAATAAATAAATAAATAAATAATATATGCCCCCCTTCTCGCCCTGAAGGGGACTCATAGCAGCTTACAAGTTATATGTACACATACAATATATTATATTATTAGCGTAGCACAACATTAGTATTATATATTACTATATAGTACTATACCACTATACTGTAATATTGTTAATAATATTACATGTACACGAAATATAAAATTATTATATTGGATTATTATTATTAGCATTGAATGGCCTTGCAGCTTCAAAGCCTGGCTGCTTCCTGCCTGAGGGAATCCTTTGTTAGAGGTGTTAGTCAGCCCTGATTGTTTCCTATCTGTTATATGTACATACAATATATTATATTATTAGCATAGCACAACATTAGTATTATATATTACTATGTAGTACTATACCACTATACTGTAATATTGTTAGTAATATTGTAGATACTGGCTAGACAGTGTAATTTCTCCAGTGGTGTAGGGCGCAGACACCCCGTGATAAAGCGGCATGTCTCATTAAGAGCCACATCCACTGTTTTAGCGTGGTGAAGTGTGTTCCACACTGAGCATGCATACTCAGCAGCAGAGTAGCAAAGCGCAAGGGCAGATGTCTTCACTGTGTCTGGTTGTGATCCCCAAGTTGTGCCAGTCAGCTTTCGTATAATATTGTTTCTAGCACCCACTTTTTGCTTGATATTCAGGCAGTGCTTCTCTGCCTGCCATAGATGTTGGCAAAACATCAGGAGGAATGCTTCTGGAACATGGCCAAACAGCCTGGAAATCTCACAGCAACCCAGTAATACAATATTTAAAATAAGAAACAATTTTATCCAAGATAAATATTTCAATGGGAAGTGTGGGCCTGATTTTGGCCGATGGGGGAGTCCGTTATTTAGGATTAATGTTGTTGTTGTGTGCCTTCAAGTCGTTTCAGACTTAGGAGAGCTAAAGTTTAGAGCATGGGATGAGTAAAAGACTTCTTATGGCTGCATAATGCCCGTGGGCAGGGCCGTAGCCAGAAAAAATTTTCGGGAGGGGTTGAAATTTGGGGGGGGGTTGAAAATTTCACGGGGGGGGGGGGTTGAAACCTGCCTCCTAGCTCACTCTGAAGCAAAGAGCACAGCAGGGGGCAGAGCAGCCTTCAATAGCCTGCAGCTCCCCCCCTGTCAACCACCTCCACCAAGTCTGGCCTCCTTAATGAGAGCATTCAACATCCCCCCCCCCACTTGGTTGCTTCACTACTGTTCTGTCGCGCGCTGGGCCTGTAAATAATTGTCTTTAGAACAGGATGTGCAACCTTTGCCCAGCGGGAAGCCAGGGGGCCTAAAGAGAAGTTCTCAGAGGTTTCCACCACAAACAGTCTTTAGATGGCTTGAGAAGTACAACAAAGTCTTTTATTAATGAACAATCAAACAGAAACTTCTCTTGTCTTCAGTAAAGTTAAGCAAATGATTCCAAGCTTTTAGGCAACTGGTGAATTCCTAATCTTGCCCACGAAGGACAGGCAACTGTCTTCAATAACTTCTTCTTTAAAGGAAAATCCCCTTTTTAACTTCTCCCAGGCTGACTGTAATCTAACCCTTACTGATGTGGGCTCCGCTACCGGGTCGAACTGCGTCTCAAAACCGAGTGGACCTACCAGCAAGGCAGTAGATGTTCTCCAGCTGGAGTTCTTTGGTCTTTAGGGCTGTTTTCCTGGAAATTCTTTGGAGACTCTTAAGACCTTTCTCCCCCGGAAGGTCTTAAGGGTTGAAGCTTTTGTACAGGGGAAGCTTGCACACATCCTATACATAAGCTTACCTTGCTGAGACTAACTAAAAATGGCTCCCTTCCCTTCCCAATTGCCCTGAGCAAGGGGCGGGACCAAAACTTAACAATGATGGACAGGTGACTTGCCCTATGACTGCAACCAAAGAAGCCACCTATCTGCAGAGTCCCTGAAACCTAGGACTGCAAGCAAACATTTAATACAAAGCAAATAAAGTTGGAGCTCCTGGTACAGCTGTACCAGAACAACTACATTGGCTATTGCTGCAAGTAATGACAGTGTGAATAAATTGCTATATTTGCTTGAGATAGTGCTTGCAGTTCTGGAGGGACTCTTAATTTTTTGCATCTCATAGACTTAGCATGGGGATTTGGTTAACCAGTTAAAATTCATGAGTAAACCAGGTTTTTTTAAAAAAATCTGAAACATTTCGGGGGGGGGTTGAACCCCTAAACCCCCCCCTCGCTACGGGCCTGCCCGTGGGCCTTCCTTTGGGGTCCTTTGCTTTAAATATTGCTGAACTACGACTTCTCTTTCCTTGGCAGCTGCCTGGTGTACCCTCAACCGAGAGTGACGAGAGGAGACGGAAAAACCAGAGAAAGGACGGCGCCTCTCCTTTCTTGCCAGGCAAAACGTCGCTCTTTTGCAGAGAACGAAACTCCCCGTCTTTTCTAACAACTTTGTTACAGTTGCTGTATCCCCCTCTTTCCTATTCCCCCCCCCCCCCCCTAACTTTTTCCTGTGCATTTCCACTCGGAAATGTTCCTAGTTGCTTGCTAGTTGAAATCAAGGAAAATAACCCAAAAGGAAGTCTTCTGGGGGTCATGTCAAGTGCAAACGTGTGACATGGCCCCAGGCAAACACAGCAAACAGTAACATAGCATGAATCCCCATTCATATTCTGATCAATTAAGCAGTGTGTAAAGGAGAGATCTTACTGTAGTTGTTTTTCTAAATCAGGATACCAAGACCACTGGATGGTAAAAAGAAAAAACGCTGTTGAGTCTCAGCATGTGTTGTCGGGCAATAGTTACCCTGCAAGTGCTGTTTATGCCATTCCAAAAATATTGTTAAATGTTGTTTCACGAATTTTCTCTGGGAATTGGAGTTTTGGAGGTGCAGAACTGGTTTTGGTATCTACACAACACACATATCCAAAAGCAAGCTGCCATATATAGTAGACAAGTGCACGGTATTTGTTTCATTCGTTTCTTTCATTACTTGGGGAGCACGGAATGGGAAGGCCCTTCCCTATACAAAAATGAGCTCAACGCAAAAGCAAGCGGGAGCGGGTACCGGCTCCACAACGCACATATCCAAAAGCAAGGTGCCATATATAGTAGACATGTGCACAGTATTTGTTCCATTCGTTTCTTTTGTTACTTGGGGATCATGGAATGGGAAGGCTCTTCCCCATACAAAACTGAGCTCAACACGAAAGCAAGCGGGAGCAGGTACCGGCTCCACAACACACATATCCAAAAGCAAGCTGCCATATAGAGTAGACATGTGCACAGTATTTGTTTCTCCCATTTCATTTGTTTCTTTCATTCCTTGGGGAGCACGGAATGGGAAGGCCTCCATACAAAAATGAGCTCAATACGAAAGCAAGCGGGAGCGGGTACCAGCTCCACAACACACATATCCAAAAGCAAGCTGCCATATATAGTAGACATGTGCACTGTATTTGTTTCATTCATTTCTTTCATTACTTGGGGAGCACGGAATGGGAAGGCCCCTCCCCATACAAAAATGAGCTCAACATGATAGCAAGCGGGAGCGGGTACCGGCTCCACAACACACATATCCAAAAGCAAGCTGCCATATAGAGTAGACAAGTGCACATTATTTGTTTCTCCCGTTTCTTTCATTTCTTTTATTCCTTAGGGAGCACAGAATGGGAAGGTCCCTCCTCATACAAAAATGAGCTCAACACGAAAGCAAGCGGGAGCGAGTATCGGCTCCACAACACACATATCCAAAAGCAAGCTGCTATATATAGTAGACATGGACACAGTATTTATTTCTCCCATTTCATTTGTTTTTTTCATTCCTTGGGGAGCACGGAATGGGAGGGCCCCATACAAAAATGAGCTCGACACAAAAGCAAGCAGGAATGGGTACCGGCTCCAAGCCTGCTTTTTAGAATCATAGTTACACCCCCGAGACAGAGTTAGAGGAAAAAAGAGAGATTGTGCTCTAGAGTGAGTGCCGCTTGGCTGCAGGACATGGCAAGCATGGGCACTCTGAGCCTGAATGCCACACACAGCCTCTCCTGTGGTGTACATGCCCAGAAAGTGTCCATGCCTGTCAGGGCCTTTTTGAGCCTGTACGATCATAGAGCCCCACACCAACGAAGACACAGCAGCCCCAGCAAGAAAGTAAGCACGGAGTCCCAGCAAGGCCACCGGCAAATGTGATGGAGGGCAAGCCCTGGCAAGCCACCAGCAAATGTAGCATGTCCCAGTCCCATGCCAAGGATCCCACTGTGGGTCCACCCCTAGTTCCCAGCTCGACGAGGCCAGATGGAACAGGCCAGCCAACAATGAAGAGATCTCAGCAGTGGTGCAAGGTAGGTTTCCTGATTGAAGGCGGAAACTGTAGCGAGAAATGGCAGCAGAACTGGCTAGTTTTCACCCTGAGCTCAATCCCTCTTCTTTCCTCTCTCTCTGTCTCAGGGGTGTCTTTAGCCCCAGCCAGGGAGCCCTTCGACTCCCCAGATGAAGGTGAAGCAAACCTCGATTTAAAAAAAACCGCCTTAAAGCGTGGGCGGAAAGGGGAGCCTGGGTGGGAAGACAGAGCCAATAGAAAACGGGTATTTTGGCACCGAAAAGCAAAATCAGAAATCTGCCTTCCCGGGAAATCTGCCAGGAAATGAATCGGGGGCCCCACCAAAAGCCGAGACACAAAATATGTCAAGGTTTACCCTGATATATAAAAGGTAAAGGTTTCCCCTTGACATTAAGTCTAGTCATGTCCAACTCTGGGGGATAGTGCTCATCTCAGTTTCTAAGCCAAAGGGCTGGCGTTTTCCATAGACACCTTCAAGATCATGTGACCTGCATGACTCCATGCAACACCATTACCTTCTCACCAAAGCGGTACCTATTGATCTAGTCATATTTGCATGTTTTTGAACTATTAGGTTGGCAGGAGCTGGGGCTAACAGCGGGAGCTCACCCTGCTCTCCAGATTCAAACTGCTAACCTTTCAGTCGGCAAGTTCAGAACCTCAGCGGTTTAACTCGCTGCACCACCAAGGGCTCCGTAATATATAAAGCCCTCTAATCCCATCCACACCATTTTGCATCCCTGACACGGAACCAGGCGGTAACATTCTCCCAATAGCCAAATAATGTCATTTTCTGACATAGCGGCCTTTCGGTGGGCCACTTCCATCAACGAGGAGGCGTGTTGTTTCAATTCCTTAGAGTTATAATACAGCTAGCGCAGAAATCCTTTTGGATATCATCACTTCCCTCCGTTGCTTTTGGGATTATTTCCACGTAAACACCCACACCGGCCAAACCTTTCCATTCCTCTCCGCTTCCTTCATTTTAATGCCAGTGCATGATTATTATTTTTTTGTAAACATGGGTATATTTAGAGAAGCATCCCCCTCTCTTGCTATAGTAAGTAGCACTAAGTTACGTTACCAAGTTTAGGAGCATTTCCTTTTTTAAAGTTGCCAACAAGGACTCAACAGGCAAGTCTCCAAATCGGGAAATAATCTTTGCCACCTCTTCCTCCGAGACAGCAAGCAAGCTCGCTTTATCTTCACTCTTGACTGTAACCTTTGATAGTTTACCTGTATTGTTTTAGAGATCAGACGATGTAGCTCTATGCCGTAGCACACTGCAGGATGTCAGTATATTAGCCAACTATAAGCAATTTTAAAAAGATGTATGTATATATATATATTATCTGCGCTGTTGTATAACGATGACTGGAGTCTCCAGACAAAAGGAATAAAATTGAAAAGAAAAAATGGGACTTGCAGTACCTCTCGTCCACAAGGCACAATCTATTCACAGGTAAGGATTGGGTTTGACATGTATATACGAGGGTTGAATGAAAAATAATGCCTCCACCTTCGTTACTTGGGTTTGGATGGCAATATTTTAATAAATCCATTCCACCCACTTGATAAGGCGGAGCATCCCTATTTTGCGGATTTTCACTTATCGCGGGTGGTCCTGAACGGAACGGCCACAATGATGATGATGATAATAATAATAATAATAAACATTATTTATAACCCGCCACAATCTCCCCGAGATTGGGGCTCACATCAGGCCAAGCCCAAAAATAATACAGCATAATTAGACACAACACAACAGAAAAATTACATCACAAAAAAATACATAAAAATAACAAAATAAAATAAACAGTGCAAAATAACATAATAGAAGTCAAACACCAGGGTGGGCCAAATGCATGAAATAAAATGATTGAAACCCTGGGTGAGATAAGAATAGAAAAAGTGTATTTGTGAGGGAGGATAAGTGAGGGAACACTGTACCCACCAAACGCAGAAATAATCCTTAGAATGTGCTCTTCAACTACCATTATTCACTTTTCCACATAATCAGACAATTGGATACATTTCTGCCAACGATGAACAAGTTTTCTGAAGCCATCATGGAAGAAGTCGACACTCTGTTTCCGCAACCAGCGTCTCACAGTTCTCTCATCCTGGGTACCCATCGTGCACAGATCTTCCAATAGCAAAGCAAAACAATAATGTGACCCACACATACTCACCAGACAATTGGATACATTTCTGCCAACAATGACCAAGTTTTCTGAAGCTGTCACTGAAGAAGTTGACACTGTTTCCACAACCAGAGTCTCACAGTTCTCTCATCCTGGGTACTCATCGTGCACAGATCTTCCAATAGTCAAGCAAAGCAATAATGTGACCCACATACAATCACCAGACAATTGGATACATTTCTGCCAACGATGAACAAGTTTTCTGAAGCCGTCACTGAAGAAGACGACACTCTGTTTCCGCAACCAGCGTCTCACAGTTCTCTCATCCTGGGTACCCATCGTGCACAGATCTTCCGATAGCCAAACAAAGCAATAAGGTGACCTACATGTTCTTGTGAAATGCCAATTATGCTTAAAATTTCTCTCCGAGTGATACAACGATCATCCTGAATCAATCTGTCAACCTTTTGCTTGCGAAATTCAGTGGTTGCTGTCACAGGACGTCCAAGTCTTTGTTTGTCACGCAAGTCAGATGTTCCCACCTCAACATATTTAAACTTACTCGCCCAATGATGCACAATGATACTCACATCAACACAATCACCATAAACAGCTTGCATTCTCTGATGAATCTCCTTTAGGGTGACACCTTCTGCTGTTAAGAATTCAGTGACTGCATGTTATTTAAGTTGCATTGACTGACCATCTGTGCAGGGTTCCATACTTCGCACTTTAACAACATAACCATTCAATGCTAAGGCTTCCCGCCAAAGTGGAACTGTAGAGGAGAGTCTACAGAACAAGCCAGTACCTGCTGCATGCCAGTGCTGCCATCTGTTAAGGAGTTATGAATATGGAAGCATTACTTTTCATTCAACCCTCGTATTATGTTTTAGAATGTGTCACCAGCTTCACAAGGACCCCCGGTGGCACAATGAGTTAAACTCTTGTGCCAGCAGGACTGCTGACAGGTCAGTGGTTTGAATCCAGAGAGAGCAGGTCGAGCTCCCTCTGTCAGCTCCAGCTCCCCATGCGGAGACATGAGAGAAGCCTCCCACAAGGATGGTAAAATGTCAACAAATCCAGGCGTCCCCTGGGCAATGTCCTTGCAGATGGCCAATTCTCTCAAACCAGAAGCGACTTGCAATTTCTCAAGTCACTCCTGACACACAAAAAAAAAATTCCAGCAAATAGTGGTGAGTCTTATTAAATATGGTTTTCTGTAGGCGAGCAGATGGTGACTACTGGATGGCATATAGAATCATAGAATCATAGAATCAAAGAGTTGGAAGAGACCTCATGGGCCATCCAGTCCAACCCCCTGCCAAGAAGCAGGAATATTGCATTCAAATCACCCCTGACAGATGGCCATCCAGCCTCTGTTTAAAAGCTTCCAAAGAAGGAGCCTCCACCACACTCCGGGGCAGAGAGTTCCACTGCTGAACGGCTCTCACAGTCAGGAAGTTCTTCCTCATGTTCAGATGGAATCTCCTCTCTTGTAGTTTGAAGCCATTGTTCCGCGTCCTAGTCTCCAGGGAAGCAGAAAACAAGCTTGCTCCCACCTCCCTGTGGCTTCCTCTCACATATTTATACATGGCTATCATATCTCCTCTCAGCCTTCTCTTCTTCAGGCTAAACATGCCCAGTTCCCTAAGCCGCTCCTCCTAGGGCTTGTTCTCCAGACCCTTGATCATTTTAGTCGCCCTCCTCTGGACACATTCCAGCTTGTCAATATCTCTCTTGAATTGTGGTGCCCAGAATTGGACACAATATTCCAGGTGTGGTCTAATCAAGGCGGAATAGAGGTGTAGCATAACTTCCTTAGATCTAGACACTATGCTCCTATTGATGCAGGCCAAAATCCCATTGGCTTTTTTTGCCGCCACATCACATTGTTGGCTCATGTTTAACTTGTTGTCCACGAGGACTCCCAAGATCTTTTTCACACCTACTGCTCTCGAGCCAGGCATCCCCCATTCTGTATCTTTGCATTTCGTTTTTCCTGCCAAAGTGGAGTATCTTGCATTTGTCCCTGTTGAACTTCATTTTGTTAGTTTTGGCCCATCTCTCTAATCTGTCAAGATCGTTTTGAATTCTGCTCCTGTCCTCTGGAGTATTGGCTATCCCTCCCAATTTGGTGTTGTCTGCAAACTTGATGATCATGCCTTCTAGCCCTTCATCTAAGTCATTAATAAAGATGTTGAACAGGACCGGGCCCAGGACGGAACCCTGCGGCACTCCACTTGTCACTTCTTTCCAAGATGAAGAGGAAGCATTAGTGAGCACTCTCTGTGTTCGTCCACTTAACCAATTACAGATCCACCTCACCGTAGTTTTGCCTAGCCCACATTGGACTAGTTTCCTTGCCAGAAGGTCATGGGGGATCTTGTCGAAGGCCTTACTGAAATCCAGGTACGCTACATCCACGGCATTCCCCGCATCTACCCAGCTTGTAGCTCTATCGAAGAAAGAGATCAGATTAGTCTGGCATGACTTGTTTTTGATAAATCCATGTTGACTATTAGCGATGACCGCATTTGTTTCTAAGTGTTTGCAGACCGCTTCCTTCACAATCTTTTCCAGAATCTTGCCTGGTTTCGACGTGAGGCTGACCGGACGGTTGGGTCATCCTTTTTTCCCTTCTTGAAGATTGGGACCACATTGGCCCTCCTCCAATCTGCTGGAACTTCTCCTGTTCTCCAAGAACTCTCAAAGATGGTTGCCAATGGTTCCGAAATGACTCCGCTAGTTCCTTCAATACTCTGGGGTGTAGTTGATCTGGCCCTGGGGACTTGAACTCATTAAGAGCGGCCAGGTATTCCTGGACGACTTCTTTCCCAATTTGGGGTTGGATGTCCTCCAATCCCTCATCCACTCCATCTTGCTGAGGTTGAAGACTCTCTTTTTGTGAGAAGACCAAGGCAAAGAAGGCATTAAGTAGTTCTGCCTTTTCCCTATCCCCTGTCAGCATTGCCCCATCTTCTCCTCGAAGAGGTCCTATCGCCTCCTTGTTTTTCCTTTTTCTACTGACATAAGAATAGAAGCCCTTTTTATTGTTTTTAATGTCCCTGGCAAGTCTGAGCTCGTTTTTTGTTTTAGCCTTGCGGACCTTTTCCCTACAGGTGTTGGCTATTTGTTTGAATTCTTCTTTGGTGATTTCTCCCTTTTTCCACTTCTTGTGCATGTCTCTTTTGTGTCTTAGCACAGTTAGAAGTTCTTTGGACATCCATTCTGGCTTCTTTGCACTTGTCCTATTTTTTCTCTTTGTTGGCACGGTTTGCAATTGTGTCTTGAGTATTTCACTCTTGAGAAATTCCCATCCATCCGTAACTCCCTTGTCTTTTAGTATCTGTGTCCACGGAATGCTGCTCAGTGTTTCCTTCATTTTTTGGAAATCAGCTCTCCTAAAGTCCAAAATGCGGGTTTGACTTGTCTTAGTTCCGGCCTTCCTTTGTACCTCAAATTGCAGGAGCACATGGTCACTTGCCCCTAAGGATCCTACCACTTCGACCGCATCGATCAGGTCCTCCGCATTTGTTAGGATGAGATCAAGAGTAGCCAATCCCCTTGTTGCCTCTTTTACCTTCTGGACCATGAAATTGTCTGCAAGGCAAGCGAGGAATTTGTTGGACCTTGTACTCTTGGCCGAGTTTGTTTTCCAGCAAATATCGGGATAGTTGAAATCGCCCATGACTACTACATCTTTTTTCTGTGCCTGTTTGGTCAACTGTTGGCAGAAGACTTCATCAAGTTCTTCCTCCTGGCTTGGGGGTCTGTAGTAGACGCCTACAACGACATCTTTTGAGTCCCAGTTCCCTTGATTCTTATCCAGATGATTTCAAGCTGGTTTCCCAGATTGCTGTCTTGAATCTCTTCTGCAGCATAAGAGTTTTTGACATATAAGGCTACTCCGCCTCCTCTCCCCTTTGTTCGGTTTCTGTGAAAGAGGTTATACCCCTCGATATCTACATTCCAGCGATAGGAGTCATCCCACCAGGTTTCAGTGATCCCTATGATATCATATTTGTGGTGTTGTGCTAAAAGTTGGAGTTCATCTTGTTTATTTCCCATGCTCTGTGCATTAGTGTAAAGACATGTGAGCCCCTGGGATCTTCCCTTGAGCTGTTTAATTGGGATTATTGTGCTTTTGGTACTTGGTCCTTGTTGTGTTTGTGCAGCCCTCCGTTTAGCCTTCTGGCGATTCCCAGACATTATGGGTAAAGTAGTGTTCGCAAGGCTGTTGTCCCCCTCCCCCGGTGGACCTAGTTTAAAGTGCGTCTAATGAGGTTTGCGAGTCTGTGAGCAAAAAGGTGTTTTCCTACTTGTGTGAGATGCACCCCATCCCTTGCCAGTAGGCCATCCTCCTGGAAAAGCAGGCCATGGTCGAGGAAGCCAAAGCGTTTCTCCTGACACCATTTTCTAAGCCAGTCATTGACCTGTACTATTTTTCTGGCTCTTGTGGGTCCGTGTCTTACAACAGGGAGGAGGGATGAAAAGACCACCTGTACATTACATTCTTTTAGCTTTGCTCCTAGAGCTCGAAAATCATTTGTGATCTTTTGAAACGTATGCCTTGCAGTATCATTGGTTCCTACATGAATCAACATGAGGGGAGGACGGTGATAGGGCTTGAGGAGCCTGGTGAGCCTCTGAGTGATATGGTGTATTTTTGCCCCCGGTAGGCAGCATATTTCTCGAGCCATCCCATCCGGTCTGGAAATGACAGCTTCCGTTCCTCTAAGGAGGGAGTCGCCTACTACCAAGACCTGTTTACTTTCGGGAATGACAGGGCCCCTTTTGTGCAATGTAGTGTGTAGGTCTCCAGAAAAGTGATCCTGTTGGTGTGAATTGTGTAGGTGAAAAGTGTTGTCCTCCTCCTCGACATCCCCGGTGCATTCGTCAAGGACAATCCATTGAGATTCGTCCAAGAGCCTATGGTTCTCCTGTATGTGTTCCTGTTGCTCCTGGTCTATGGTTGGGGATGGTACACCTGCAGGATTGTGCAAGTGTGAATGTTGTGAAGTGTTGTCCCAGTCAGGGCTATCCCCCGCACACTGATCAAGGATGAGCCACTGATCAGTATCTAAGCCATTCTGGTCTTCCCCAATATGTTGTGTTTCTTGGTCAGGTGCTAGTTGTGTGAGAATTTGGAATCTATTGTGTAACTGCAGCTGAGCGGAAGTATTCTGAGGAGGCTTCCGGGTCCTATGTGTCCTTCTAAGGGTGACATTTCTCCAAGCCTGAGGGTTGTCCACATCTGAGGTGCTGTTCTGTTGAGCCTCCCTGTAATGTTGGTGTGATATGGGCTGCGTGTCTAGGACAGTGTGGTGTGTGGTGTCTAAGAACAGCTCAAGTTCCTGAATGTCCTTAAGGGTGTTAATACGGTCCTCGAGTTGTCGTATCCTGTGTTCCATGCGAGTGATCTGTGTACACTTGGGGCAGATGTAATTGAGTAATTGTAGTGTGAAAAAGCTGAACATGCCACAGCTTGTGCATGAGACGGGAAGTTTTCGTGTTTGTTCCATCTGGAGGTTGCTAATGACCTCCTCTTGGTGTGTGTTTGATGTTGTCTGTATGCAGGGGTGAAAGTATAGGTTACTGAGTGTACGAGTTCGCGCGCGCCGTCAGGCGCGCATGACACTGGTTTATATAGGATAACCAGGAAGCCCCTCCTCTCAAACAAAGCAGTTAATTTTTAAACTCAGGAAGCCCCTCCTCTCAAACAAAGCAGTTAATTTTAAACTCAGGAAGCCCCTCCTCTCAAACAAAGCAGTTAATTTTTAACTCAGGAAGCCCCTCCTCTCAAACAAAGCAGTGCTGAAAGCAGTTAAATTTAAACAAAGCTTACCCTGAAGCAGAAGGAAACAAAATGGGTGTATGTTCTGTATCAGAAACTAGAGCTGATGTGGTCTATCCAATGCAATTTTCTTAATCAGCACCCGATCAAAAACCGATTTGCAACCCTTTTGGTACCAATGTTGGAGAGTGGCCCCTAGTCAAAGTAGTCCCTGGTCAAAAAAAAGTTTGGGAACCACTGGATTACATACTGGATTACAGCTCATCCGGACTCTCCTCAGATTCGAACCTACAACCTGTCAGTTTTCAGTCCTGCCGACACAAGGGTTTAACCGGGTCTGCCCTATTTACTGGATGAAATGTTCTCTATCAAACTTTTTTGGGATTGTGTGACCCCAAAGATATATAACGAATGGAAAGGCATAACCAACTCAAGTGTGTTTTTATTTATTTACATAGATATCTGAAAGGTAGCCCTTATTTCAGTTATGCCCAGGTGAGAAAAAGTACCTGTCCACGTCAACCAGGAATGTTGCTCGGAGGTGTCCAACAGTAGAAGACAGCCTTGCCTTATAGGTTGTCCCACGACCACTGGACTCCCTTTGCAAATGCTGCCACCTAGAGGCTAGAATTGGTAGAGCAGCTCCATGACGGCCAGGGTGGTGCTTTGCCCGAAGATGAATGTCCCGCAGAGCACCGTGATGACCCCCCATGTGATAAGACAGGACCTGCAAGGAAGAACAAGCCGAGACGCAAGAGCTGCGTTGTGCACTCGTTGGGTTTGCAGACACACAATGTCCCTTCATTATTCTACTTAGGGAAACACAAGTGGCTAAAAATAATATTCACTGAGGATATGTTCCTTCATACAAACACATGTTTACATATTCAGAGCAAAATTAAATACAGGCAGTCATGGAATCATAGAGTTGGAAGAGACCTCATGGGCATCCAGTCCACGTCAACCTGCCAAGAAGCAGGAATATTGCATTCAACGCATCCCTGACAGGTGGCCATCCAGCCTCTGTTTAAAAGCCTCCATAGAAGGAGCCTCCACCACACTCCGGGGCAGAGAGTTCCACTGTTGAACAGCTCTCACAGTTAGGAAGTTCTTCCTAAAGTTCAGGTGGAATCTCCTTTCCTGACATTGCTCCGTGTCCTAGTCTCCAGGGCAGCAGAAAACAAGCTTGCTCCGTCCTTCCTGTGACTTCCTCTCACATATTTATACATGGCCCTCGTCATGCCTCCTCTCAGCCTTCTCTTCTTCAGGCTAAACATGCCCAGCTCTTTAAGCCGCTCCTCATAGGGCTTGTTCTCCAGACCCTTGATCATTTGAGTCGACCTCCTCTGGACACATTCCAGCTTGTCAATAGCTCTCTTCAATTGTGGTGCCCAGAATTGGACACAGTATTCCAGGTGTGGTCTAACCAAGGCAGAATAGAGGGGTAGCATGACTTCCCTGGATCTAGACACTATACTCAGGCCTAAAATTTTTTGCAGCTTCACTGTTTGCCGCACAATCTTCTTACTGTATATGTGAAATTCCTTCCATCAACCATCCTTCTCTTACGCACCTTTATACAGGACTTCGCTGTTACATGCTCATGAAGGACCTAAATGGCAATCAAGCAATTAATCACTACCTTTTTGTCTTTTTTCTGTATCTGATTTAATTGATTATGCCAATAATCATCCATTGCACTGTATTCCAGTATCTTCTTTCTACTTACCTCTCTTTCCCATTTCTACTTCAAACTTTTCATACAACTACTTCTTACCTTTTGTACTTTCCTTACTTCTTCTGTCACTTTATTTTATCTCTTTCGTTCTTTCTTTCTTTCTTTCTGTATTCTTTTTTCTCATCAATCCACCATCCTTATTTAATCACGTTTCTTCCTCCTTATCTTTAACTTCACATACTTACAAACTTTAATCACTATGTTCAATACCTTACCTTTTGGTCTTTTTCTCCTTTTCTCTTTCATTTATTGGATGCTCAAATCATTACATAATACATAATTTATTTATCTTTCTTACAACTTTATCTTTTTACCGTTATCCTTCACCTACACCAATTTAATCTCTTCACAGTAATGTAACTTTTGTCTGTTCTTTCTCTCTCATCTTTTAATTTATTCCTCACAATTCCTAACATTAATACATCCTTTTTATCCTTATACACTTCATTCTGATTTTAACTTACCTCAAGTAAATTACCAACCTTTCATCAAAATACTTACCTAATCTTACTCCATCACTTCAATAAATTTGATCATTACATCTTCTTTTGCCTCCATCCTTTTGTTCTGTCTTTTCCTTTCTATCTTTACTTTACTCTTCAATTCAAAAACTTTTAATAACTACATCCTTCCTTCCCTTCTTGCTGCCCTCCTGCCTCACTTTCATCCTTCCATATTTTTGCCGCCCTCCCTTTCGTCCTGTTCACTTCTACTTATCGATGTCAGGCATCAGTCCCTGCCACAGTGTAACACAATCAATCCCTTCATTCACTTACTCCACTCATCCTCACAACTTGTCTCCTTCAAAGCCTTCACTTCTACTTTTGTCTGTAGTTACTTACTCTTTACTTCCTACCTGTTCTTACTCTTCCCTGTCCATATTTCAATTCCCCATCTTACCTTCCCTCTTTACTCCAATACGCCGCCATCACTGGCGAAATGCCATCCTTGCGCGTGGGCACGTTAATCGGAGGGCGTTACTATCATGTCACTTATCGCACATTTCATCGACTAACGTGAACTTCAAAATTTGCAGTCCCTCACAAACTTCCTTCCCACCCGATAGTTCTAATTTCCAGCAATTCCCTTCCTACATTCGTAGCGTTACCTTACTAGCTTCGCCCTTACAATACGTTTCTGCTATGTCCGTACAGGGACAACTGTGAATGACAGCATACGGCCTTCCTACTTAAACATCCATAGTACTGAGAGAAACTTGCGACTTAATACCCATTCACTTAAGTACAGGTATTTACTTACGTACTCCTGTACAACCTTGGATTAATCACCTGCGAACAGTCGAATACAGTGGTAGCCATCCAGCCTAGTTCCCTATGTTACCAGTAATGCTGTCCACCTCACTCATCCTTCCAATAAGGAGAGGACTGCACATTGTCGTCATTGGCTCAATTCTATCTACTTTCCTCCTTCCATATTTCACAATTTCCATACACTCAAGCACGATACTTTACCCTCACTTTCTCCTTCCATCCTTCCCTTCCTCCCTTTCGTCTTTCCTTCTCTCTTTCCTTCCTCCTTTTCTTCCTCCTTCCCTTCCACCTTTTCATCCCTCCATCCTTCCTTCCCTCTTCCCTCCCTCCTTCCCTCACTTTCTCCTTCCATCCTTCCCTTCCGTCTGTCTTTCCTTCTCTCTTTCCTTCCACCTTTTCTTCCTCCTTCCCTCACTTTCTCCTTCCATCCTTCCCTTCCTCCCTTTCATCTGTCTTTCCTTCTCTCTTTCCTTCCTCCCTTTCTTCCTTTTTCCCTTCCACCTTTTCATCCCTCCAGGCATATCTGTGACAACATCTGGAGACACAAGATGTCCATCCAAACATGGATCTCCAAATATGGATCTCCAGGTACTTTTGGAGTTGAGTCTCTTCCAGATCTATGATTCTACGAAACCCCATGAAGCACAGCCAAGAATGAAGGACATCTGTTGACCCACGGTTGGGAACCATGACACTCGATCCCCAATTGTTCATTCAATAAGTATTTCGATTGCACAGTAATAGAGATATATACATACTTGGTCCTTGGCTTGACTGGTTCCTTCTCCATCGCGCAGACCAAACACAACCCTACAAGTTGAACAGAAATGGTTCAGTCTTCTTGGCACAGGAATAACTTTGAAGAAGAACGCAAAGAAAATCTTTAAAATACCCTGGAGTTTCCATTTAACCAACTCATGTTTAGCTACCAGGTGTCGTTCTTCAAATAGACTGTGTTCCTATCCGAGGAGGTATATGGAACATGTCGTTTACTGTCAAGTTACTTGTCAGTGTTGAGTGAGCTATTTCAGGCATGTTAGCGATGGGTAACCTCTTCCCAGTGTGACTCAGAAAGGGATTCTGTAACTGAGCTGAGCCAATTCCTCCCATTTTCCAAAATTCAGATCATATTCCCACTGATCACACACATGCAGTTGAACTTCTACATAAGAAGTTCCCAATACAAGTATGTTCTAACTTACAAATTAGAAAATGTTGACCATTTTCGCTACCTGGACAGCCACCTCTCCACAAAAGTCAGCATTGACACTGAAATTCAAGACCTCCTGAGCTCTGCGAGTGCAGCATTTTTCTGAATGAAGCAGAGAGTGTTTGAGGATTGGGACATCTGTAGGGATACCAAGGGACTTGTTTATAAAGCTATTTCCGCTCCCTTGGCAACCACCTCTCCACAAAAGTCAACATTGACACTGAAATACAATACCACCTGAGCTCTGCGAGTGCAGCATTTTTCCGAATGAAGCAGAGAGTGTTTGAGGACCGGGACATCCGTAGGGATACCAAGGGGCTTGTTTATAAAGCTACTCGCTTGGGGACCCGGTGGTGACCAGGTTATTTGTGTGCAAAGTATGGTCCTGATCCGTCATTCATGGGGGTCACAGTGGTCTCTGGAAGTGGGTGAAGGTACTGCAAGTCCCATCATCCATGGCAACTTTGGTCCAGGTACAACGTTGGTTGGGTTCACAGTGCTCTCTGGATGTTGGTGAACTACGACTCCTATAAATCAAGATCAATTCCCCCAAACATGGTCATGGGGGTACTGCGTGCCCCATCATCCATGGCAACTTTGGTCCAGGTACAACGTTGGTTGGGTTCACAGTGCTGTCTGGATGTTGGTGAACTACGACCCCTATAAATCAAGATCAATTCCCCCAAACATGGTCACGGGGGTACTGCGTGCCCCATCATCCATGGCAACTTTGGTCCAGGTACAACGTTGGTTGGGTTCACAGTGCTCTCTGGATGTTGGTGAACTACGACTCCTATAAATCAAGATCAATTCCCCCAAACATGGTCATGGGGGTACTGCGTGCCCCATCATCCATGGCAACTTTGGTCCAGATACAACGTTGGTTGGGTTCACAGTGCTCTTTGGATGTAGGTGAACTACGACTCCTATAAATCAAGATCAATTCCCCCAAACATGGTCACGGGGGTACTGCGTGCCCCATCATCCATGGCAACTTTGGTCCAGATACAACGTTGGTTGGGTTCACAGTGCTCTCTGGATGTAGGTGAACTACGACTCCTATAAATCAAGATCAATTCCCCCAAACATGGTCACAGGGGTACTGCGTGCCCCATCATCCATGGCAACTTTGGTCCAGATACAACGTTGGTTGGGTTCACAGTGCTCTCTGGATGTAGGTGAACTACGACTCCTATAAATCAAGATCAATTCCCCCAAACATGGTCACGGGGATACTGCGTGCCCCATCATCCATGGCAACTTTGGTCCAGATACAACGTTGGTTGGGTTCACGGTGCTCTTTGGATGTTGGTGAACTACGACTCCTATAAATCAAGATCAATTCCCCCAAACATGGTCACGTGGGTACTGCGTGCCCCATCATCCATGGCAACTTTGGTCCAGATACAACGTTGGTTGGGTTCACAGTGCTCTTTGGATGTTGGTGAACTACGACTCCTATAAATCAAGATCAATTCCCCCAAACATGGTCATGGGGGTACTATGTGCCCCATCATCCATGGCAACTTTGGTCCAGATACAACGTTGGTTGGGTTCACAGTGCTCTCTGGATGTAGGTGAACTACGACTCCTATAAATCAAGATCAATTCCCCCAAACATGGTCACGTGGGTACTGCGTGCCCCATCATCCATGGCAACTTTGGTCCAGATACAAACAGGACCTTGCTTAATGGTCTGTTTCTTTTATTCCTGAGGAAGGCTAGGCCAAGGTTGTTTGGCTAGATTCCAGAAAGTGGGAATTTGGTTTGGAATTATTATCAGAGATTAGTTTGCTGAGATAATCTCCTGTTTGTTAACCCTAGATTTGAACCCAGTACCCATCTAAGAATTATACATCAAACATAACCAAAAGCTTTTGCGCCATTAACTTACAGAAACCATTACGCATTTGTACCAGAAGAGTTTAAGCCTGTTAAATAAACGTTTTATTATATGAGGGTTATTTTTTAAGTAAGGTCCATTTTGTTGTAGACACTAGTAGTTCGCACGCATACCGCAATGAGTGTGTGCATCGTGTACCGGCATGCCTCGGGAACAACTGTGCTCAGTTTTCACTCTGTAGCTAACCTGTACGGTTCTGTTCTGTGCTTCAAAAATGTTTAAGACTATCAACTCACCCGCTGCATATGAGGTTTGCTCAGTGATACGGTTTTTGTCAGCAAGGAACCTGCCTGCTGCAGAAATTCATCGACAGATTTGTGAAGTGTACGGTGATACTGTTATGAGTGAAAGCAAAGTGCGTAGGTGGGTACGACAATTCAAAGATGGCCGTGACAATGTCCATGATGAGGACCGTTCCGGTCGCTCTTCTTTGATTACAGTGAACTCTTGGTTATCGGAGCAGGCGGCAAGTTTTTATGAAGAGGGTATTTTAAAATTGGTTCAGATCTGTGATAAGTGTTTGAACAAACTTGGCCACTATGTCGAAAAATAGAGTAAAGTATGTACTTTCTGAATTTACTTTTTTGAAATAAACTTTCGTTGTGTACTTACGTTCAAACAGACCTTACTTTAAAAATACCTCTCGTAGTTAACACATTACAACATCTCTGTGTTAATGTCATTGGTATTTAAACCCTCTGAGGAAATAAACACTATAGTAACACAGAAGGGGATTACTAAGTATCCTCTCCACACATATAACTCAGTCTGAATACTAAACAATAAGGTGGCAGCATACCCAATTGAAGAGGCCTTTTAAAACCCTATTTAAAATCTTTTCTACTATTCGGCCTTCCTGCTATTCATTATACAGGGCATGTCTGATGTTTCCTCTAGTGCTGCAGGATGCAGAAATTCTTTGAGAGAACATATTCATCAAATCTTCAAAGGCGGAAAGCTGACTGTGCCTCTGTATTTTGAACTCAGTTTGCAGCAATTAAGCCAAAGAGAGGAAAGTGGGAGGAGCGAGAGAAACTGGGACATTTTTAAAGCAGCTGAGGGAGTGGGATGGCAGAGGATTAGTGTCCCTGCCAAATCTTCCCACAGAAAGATGCAGAAAATATAGACGTGGGTGCATACCTGGGAAGATGAAGATGAAGAAAGCACTGATGCCTCCAATGACGCTGATCACTTTGCTGATGTCTGGGACACAGAGCGCAATGATGAGGGTGACTACGACCCAAGCAGTGGTGAGCAGGACCCGCGTCCATTTCTCATTCGGCTCCCTAGTCAGCGCATCGCTGTGCTTGGAGCTCAGGCAGATGTCCTGCAGGACGGACCTTGAAATGCAATCGAGAGATGCAAAAAGTCATGGGGTCCGTTGGGGAAAGGAAGGGGAGAATAGGAGAAATCTGGTACACCCGAGGTAACACTTTCCTTTTCTTAACAGAAAATGTGATACCATTGGCAGAAATCACATCGGAAGACTAGAGATATCTTCCTACACCCTACACCAGCTACTGTTCTGAATCATAATGTAAATATCTGATATGCAGGATATGTTTTCATTCACTGGACCAAATTTGGCACAAATACCCAATATGCCCAAATTTGAATACTGGTGGGGTTGGGGTGGGTGGGTTGATATTTGTCATTTGGGAGATGTAGTTGTCGGGATTTATAGTTCAACTACAATCAAACAGCATTGTAGTTCACTTAAATCCAGAGAGCACTGTGGACTCAAAAAATGGTGGATCTGGACCAAATTTGGTACAAATAATCAATATGGCCAAATGTAAACACTGATGAAGTTTGGGAAAAATAGACCTTGACGTTTGGGAGTTATACATGCTGGGATTTATAGTTCACCTACAATCAAATAGCATTGTAGTTCACTTAAATCCAGAGAGCACTGTGGACTCAAAAATGGTGGATCTGGACCAAACTTGGTACAAATAATCAGTACGCCCAAATGTAAACACTGATGAAGTTTGGGTAAAATAAACCTTGACATTTGGGAGTTATAGTTGCTGGGATTTATAGTTCACCATTAATCAAAGAGCATTGTAGTTCACTTAAATCCAGAGAGCATTGTGGACTCAAAAAATGGTGGATCTGGACCAAACTTGGTACAAATAATCAATATGCCTAAATGTAAACACTGATGAAGTTTGGGTAAAATAGACCTTGTCGTTTGGGAGTTATAGTTGCTGGGATTTATAGTTCACCTACAATCAAAGAGTATTGGAGTTCACTTAAATCCAGAGAGCACTGTGGACTCAAACAATGATGGATCTGGACCAATCTTGGTACAAATAATCAGTACGCCCAAATGTAAACACTGGTGGAGTTTGGGTAAAATAAACCTTGACGTTTGGGAGTTATAGTTGCTGGGATTTATAGTTCACCTACAATCAAAGAGCATTCTGAATTCCACCAATGATAGAATTGAACCAAACTTGGCACACAGAACTCACATGACCAACAGAAAATACTGGGAGGGTTTGGGGGGCATTGACCTTGAGTTTGGGAGTTGCAGTTCACTTAAATCCAGAGAACACTATGTTGTTGTTCATTCGTTCAGTCGCCTCCGACTCTTCGTGACCTCATGGACCAGCCTACGCCAGAGCTCCCTGTCGGCCGTTACCACCCCCAGCTCCCTCAGTCCAGTCACTTCAAGGATGCCATCCATCCATCTTGCCCTTGGTCGGCCCCTCTTCCTTTTGCCTTCCACTTTCCCCAGCATAATTGTCTTCTCTAGGCTTTCCTGTCTCCTCATGATGTGGCCAAAGTACTTCACTTTGTCTCTAGTATCTTTCCCTCCAGTGAGCAGTCGGGCTTTTTTTCCTGGAGGATGGACTGGTTGGATCTTCTCGCAGTCCAAGGCACTCTCAGAACTTTCCTCCAACACCACAGCTCAAAAGCATCGATCTTCCTTCGCTCAGCCTTCCCTAAGGTCCAGCTCTCACATCCGTAGGTGACTACAGGGAAGACCATGGCTTTGACTAGGCAATGGATCTTTGTTGCCAGTCTGATGTCTCTACTCTTCACTATTTTATCGAGACTGGACATTGCTCTCCTCCCAAGAAGTAAGCGTCTTCTGATTTCCTGGCTACAGTCTGCATCTGCAGTAATCTTTGCACCTAGAAATACAAAGTCTGTCACGGCCTCCACGGTTTCTCCCTCTATTTCCCAGTTGTCAATCATTCTTGTTGCCATAATCTTGGTTTTTTATATGTTTAGCTGCAACCCAGCTTTTGCGCTTTCTTCTTTCACCTTGATTAGAAGGCTCCTCAGCTCCTCCTCGCTTTCGGCCATCAGAGTGGTGTCATCTGCATATCTGAGGTTGTTAATGTTTCTTCCAGCAATTTTCACCTCAGCTTTGCATTCATCCAGCCCCGCACATCGCATGATGTGTTCTGCATACAAGTTAAAAAGGTTGGGTGAGAGGATGCAGCCTTGCCGTACGCCTTTCCCAATCTTGAACCAGTCTGTTGTTCCGTGGTCAGTTCTGACTGTTGCTACTTGGTCATTGTACAGATTCCTCAGGAGAGAGACAAGGTGGCTTGGGATGCCCATCCCACTAAGAATTGCCACAATTTATTATGATCCACACAGTCAAAGGCTTTAGAATAGTCAATGAAGCAGAAGTAGATGTTTTTCTGAAACTCCCTGCCTTTCTCCATTATCCAGCGGATATTGGCAATCTGGTCTCTCGTTCCTCTGCCTTTTCTAAACCCAGCTTGAACATCTGGCAACTCTCGCTCCATGTATTGCTGGAGTCTTCCTTGCAGGATCTTGAGCATTACCTTACTGGCATGAGAAATAAGGGCCACTGTACGGAAGTTTGAGCAGTCTTTCGCATTTCCCTTTTTTGGTATGGGGATATAAGTTGATTTTTTCCAGTCTGATGGCCATTCTTGTGTTTTCCATATTTGCTGGCAAATGGCATGCATCACCTTGACAGCATCATCTTTTAAGACTTTAAACAGTTCAGCTGGGATCCCATCATCTCCTGCTGCCTTGTTGTTAGCAATGCTTCTTAAGGCCCATTCAACCTCACTCCTCAGGATGTCTGGTTCTAATTCATTCACCACACCGTCAAAACTATCCTCAATATTATTATCCTTCCTATACAGATCTTCTGTATAGTCTCGCCACCTTCTCTTGATCTCTTCAGCTTCTGTTAGGTCCCAGCCATCTTTGTTTCTTATCATACCAATTTTTGCCTGAAATTTATCTCCAATGTTTCTAATTTTCTGGAAGAGGTCTCTTGTCCTTCCTATTCTGTTGTCTTCTTCCACTTCCATGCATTGCTTATTTAAAAATAGTTCCTTATCTCTTCTGGCTAACCTCTGGAATTGCATTTAACTGGGCATATCTCCCCTTTTCACTGTTTCCTTTTGCTTTCCTCCTTTCTTGGGCTACTTCCAGTGTCTCAGCAGACAACCATTTTGCCTTCTTGGTTTTCTTTTTCTTTGAACGTACTTTGTTGCCGCCTCCTGAACAATGTCGCGGACTTCTGTCCATAGTTCTTCTGGGACTCTGTTTAATAAATCTAGTCCTTCAAATCTGTTCTTCACTTCCACTGTATATTCGCTAGGAATGTTAGTGAGATCATATCTAACTGGTCTGTGTATTTTCCCTGATCTCTTTAGTTTTATTCTAAATTGAGCAATAAGAAGTTCGTGATCTGAGCTACAGTCAGCCCCAGGTCTTGTTTTCACCGACTGGATGGATGTCCGCCACCTTTGGCTGCAAAGGATGTAGTCAATCTGATTTCGGTGTTGACCGTCTGGTGAGGTCCATGTATAAAGCCGTCTTTTAGGTTGTTGGAAGAGAGTATTCGTTATACACAGCGAGTTTTCCTGGCAGAATTCTATCAGCCTGCGTCCCGCTTCATTTTGTTCTCCCAGACCATGCTTGCCTGTGATCCCAGTTGTCATTTGACTTCCCACCTTGGCATTCCAGTCTCCTGTAATGAAAATAATGTCTCTTTTTGGTGTATTATCCAGTAGGTCCTGCAGATCCTCATAGAACTGATCTAATTCTGCTTCTTCAGCAGCTGTGGTTGGGGCGTATATTTGGATCACTGTAATGTTGAAAGGCTTTCCTTGCACTCGAATTGAGATCATTCTGTCATTTTTTGGGTTGTATCCAAGCACCGCTTTAGCGAATTTCTTATTAATTATGAAGGCTACTCCATTTCTTCGATGTTCCTCTTGTCCACAGTAGTAGATTTGGTGGTCATCTGATGTGAAGTGGCCCATTCCAGTCCACTTCAGTTCGCTGACCCCCAGAATGTCTATCTTTAGTCTTGACATCTCACCAATAACAACATCCAATTTGCCCTGGCTCATAGATCTTACATTCCAGGTTCCTATGGTGTGTTGATCTTTAGAGCATCGGATTCGTCGTTCGCCTCCAGTACCGTCGGCCGCTAGCCTTCCTTTCGGCTTTGAGCTAGCTGCGTCATCACATCTGGGGCTAGTTGAACTTATCCTCTGCTCCTCCCCAGTAGCATTTTGGCCATCTTCCGACCTGGGAGTCCCATCTTCCAATGGCATACCGACATATCTCTGGTTGTACTGGTCCATTTAGTTTTCTTGGCAAGGATACTGGAGTGGTTTGCCATTGCCTTCCCCAGGGATCACGCTTGGTCTGACCTCTCTGCCACAACCGTCACGTCTTGGGTGGCCCTTCACGGTTTCGCTCATGACATCATTGAGGTGCTCAAGCTCCAGCGCCCCGACAAGGCGGTGATCCTTTGCTGGAGAGAGAACACTATGGACTCAAACAATTGATCTGGACCAAACTTGGCACAAATACTTAATATGCCGAAATGTAAACACTGGTGAAGTTTAGGTAAAATAGACCTGGACATTTGGGAGTTATAGTTGCTGGGATTTGTAGTTCACCTACAATCAAAGAGCATTCTGAATTCCACCAATGATAGAATTGAACCATACTTGGAACACAGAACTCCCATGACCAATAGAAAAATACTGGGAGGGTTTGGGGGGCATCGACCTTGAGTTTTGGAGTTGTCGTTCACTTAAATCCAGAGAGCACTGTGGACTCAAACAATGGATCTGGACACAAATACTCAATATGCCCAAATGTAAACACTGGTGGAGTTTGGCAAAAATAGACCTTGACATTTGGGAGTTGTAGTTCACCTACAATCATAGCAGGAGGAGGGCTTTGGTGGGAGGATTCACCATGTGTTTCCAAAAAGGAAGAGAAGGACAGGTGGAGAGATCTTCTGCCTTCTCTGCCAAAGGCGTTCCTAAGACCATCAGAAATATGTGTTTTCTGATGGTCTTTGGCGACCCCTCTGAAACTCCCCTTGCGACCCCCCCCCAAGGGGTCCCGACACTGCTCTAAGGCGAAGTTATTGCAGGATTTGCTAAGGCTGAGAGTTACTGACTTGTCCAAGGACGTTGATGGTCAAGCAGAGATGTCAACCCTGGTGATCAAAGCAGTAGCCATGCGCTCAAACCGCTCTACCACACTGGCGCATATATTTCTATCCAATTCTTTATCCAGAGATCTCAATGCAAAATTAAAATAGTAGAAACCATTACAATAATTCAACAAAACTAAAAAAAATTCAAAAGATGGGTTGAAAGGGTTAAAATGGTATAGAATGCAATTAAAATTATGCGTATAAGAACGAAAAGCAACGGGGACTACAAAGCTTTCATGAACGGCCATGTTTTTACTTGGTGCTAATGAATGGCAACACAATGTTGGCACCCATCGGGCCTTCAAAGGGAAGGAGTTCCACAACTGAGATGCCCTGGTTCAAAGTTATGGAAATGAGGGATTTGTAGTTTTACAAGTTTTTTACCCTTCCTACAAAAGACTGCTGGTGCCTCCCCAAATTAGAAATCCCAGGATTCCATACCACTGAGACATTAATGGTTCAAATGGTGCCAAGCTGCATTACTTCTACATTGTACATGCTGTGTTATTTTATTATTATTATTATTATTATTATTATTATTATTATTATTATTATACCATCTCAAAGCAGGGAGCTTTGAGATGGTAGAACAGAAGCTCTCCGAAGCTCTAGGTGCTCTTACTGCCTATTACAGGGAAAACCAGCTGATCCCTAATCCATCTAAAACACAGACATGTGCTTTTCACCTTAAGAACAGACAAGCATCCCAAGCTCTGAGGATCACCTGGGAAGGAATCCCACTGGAGCATTGCAGCGCACCCAAATACCTGGAGTCACTCTGGACCGTGCCCTGACCTACAAGAAGCACTGCCTGAATATCAAGCAAAAAGTGGGTGCTAGAAACAATATCATACGAAAACTTACTGGCACAACCTGGGGATCACAACCAGACACAGTGAAGACATCTGCCCTTGCGCTGATCTCTGCTGCTGAGTATGCATGCCCAGTGAGAACCACTGGTCTAGAGGCATTCTCTATGTGGCTCTTAATGAGACATGCCGCATTATCACGGGGTGTCTGCACCCTACACCACTGGAGAAATTACACTGGTTAGCCGGTATTGCACCACCTGACATCTGTCGGGAAGTAGCAGCCAATAGTGAAAGGACCAAGGCAGAGACATCTCCAGCTCATCCCTGTTTGGGTATCAGCCAGCACGTCAACGACTTAAATCAAGAAATAGTTTTCTAAGATCTACAGAGACACTCGCTGGAACACCTTAGCAAGCGAGAGTCCAAAAGTGGCAGGCTCAAACCCAGAACCTCAATCAATGGCTGATACCAAATGAGAGACTCCCCCCTGGGCACACAGAAGACTGGGCGACTTGGAAGGCGCTGAACAGACTGCGCTCTGGCACAAGATGCAGAGCCAACCTTAAGAAATGGGGCCACAAAGTGGAATCCACGACATGCGAGTGCAGAGAAGCGCAAACCACTGACCACCTGCTGCAATGCACCCTGAGCCCTGCTACATGCACAATGGAGGACCTTCTTGCGGCAACACCAGAAGCACTCCAAGTGGCCAGATACTGGTCAAAGGACATTTAATCAACTACCAAGCTTGCAAACTCTGTGTCTTTTGTATGTATGTTTGTTTGTTTGTTCTGTCAAAAATGTAATGCAACTGTTTGGTTGCCTGACACGATAAATAAATAAAATAAATTATTATTATTATTATTATTATTATTATTATTATTATTATTATTATTATTAGATGCACTCAAGGTTTTCTGCACCAAGATAGCACTTATCAATGTTACCTTCCCAAGAGGAGGACAATGGGGTAGATGGTGATGATGGAGATGCCAAACAACAGCCGGGCGATGATGACCACTACGTCATTTCCTGGGTACGACATGAGGATGTCGGCAGCCACATCGGCACCGAAGGTCAAATAGCCATACAGTCCTGTGGAGGAGAGAAGCAATCATACCTGTCCGAAATTTGGCAATATAGACAGTCCCCAAGTTGTCGTAGGCTTTCATGGCTGGAATCACTGGGTTGTTGTAGGCTTTTCGGGCTATATGGCCATGTTCTAGAAGCATTCTCTCCTGACGTTTCGCCTGCATCTATGGCAGTGGTTCTCAACCTTCCTAATGCCGCGACCCCTTAATACAGTTCCTCATGTTGTGGTGACCCCCAACCATAAAATTATTTGCATTGTTAGTTCATAAATGTAATTTTGCTACTGTTACGAATCGTAATGTAAATATCCGATATGCAGGATGTATTTTCATTCACTGGACCAAATTTGGCACAAATGCCCAAATTTGGATACTAGTGGGGTTGGGGGAGGGACTGGTTTTATCATTTGCTGGGATTTATAGTTCATCTACAATTAAAGAGCATTCTGATCTCCACCAATGATGGAACTGAACCAGTCTTGGCACACAGGACTCCCATGACCAACATAAAACACTAGCAGGGTTTGGTGGGCATGGATCTTGAGTTTGGGAGTTGTAGTTCACCTACATCTGTGGACTCAAACAATGATGGATCAGGACCAAATTTGGCACAAATACTCAATATGCCCAAATGTGAACACAAGTGGAGTTTGGGGAAAATAGACCTTGGCATTTGGGAGTTGTAGTAGCTGGGATTTATAGTTCACCTACAATCAAAGAGCATTCTGAATCCCACCAACAATAGAATTGGATCTAACTTTCGACACGAAACCCAGATGACCAAAAGAAAATACTGTGTTTTCTGATGGTGTTTGGCGACCCCTCGGACACCCTCTTGCGACCCCGCCAGGGGTCCCAACCCCCAGGTTGAGAAACACTGATCTATGGCAAGCATCCTCAGAGGTTGCAAGGTCTGAGGATGCTCACAACCTCTGCGGATGCTTGCCATAGACGCAGGCGAAACGTCAGGAGAGAATGCTTCTAGAACATGGCCATATAGCCCGAAAAACATACAACCCAGTCCCGAAGTTATGAGCAAAATCAGAACAGGGACATTTCTTAGTGTAACTCACAGCAAAATGGCATAGTAAAGTGGGGGACATAGAATTTGGGGGGTTGTATCCCGGGAGGTGAAATCTGAAGATATATATATGGAAGGCTGACTATTACTGGTGAAAGTTAACCATAGAAGATACCCATACCTGGTACACAAATGATCAGCCACTGCCAGAAGGACCAGAGAGTTTCATCTATGCTGACGATCGTGCCATCACCACTCAAACAGGGAGCTTTGAAATGGTTGAGCAGAAGCTCTCCAAAGCTTTAGGTGCTCTTACTGGCTATTACAGGGGAAATCAGCTGATTCCTAAGATGGAAAGTGCAGACGTGTGCTTTTCATCTTAAGAACAGACAAGCATCTCGAGCTCTGAGGATGACCTGGGAAGGAATCCCACTGGAGCATTGCAGCGCACCCAAATACCTGGGAGTCACTCTGGACCATGCTACAAGAAGCACTGCCTGAATATCAAGCAAAAATTGGACGCTAGAAACAATATCATACGAAAGCTGACTGGCACAACCTGGGGATCACAACCAGACACAGTGAAGACATCTGCCCTTGCGCTCTGCTACTCTGCTGCTGAGTATGCGTGCCCAGTGTGGAACACATCTCACCACATGTGGCTCTTAATGAGACATGCCGCATTATCACGGGGTGTCTGCCGTCCTACACCGCTGGAGAAATTATACTGTTTAGCCAGTATTGCACCACCTGACATCCGTCAGGAAGTAGCAGATTATAATGAAAGGACCATGGGATTGACATCTCCAGCTCATCCTCTGTTCGGATATCAGCTAGCAAGCCAGTGCCTTAAAATAAGAAATAACTTCCTAAGATCTATAGGGATACTCGCAGGAACACCTCAGCAAGCAAGAGTACAAAAGTGGCAGGCTAAAACCTGGAACCTCAATCTGTGGCTGATACTGGGTGAGAAACTCTCTCTTGGGTGCAAGAAGACTGGGTGGCCCGGAAGGCTCTGAACAGACTGCTTTCTAGCACCACAAGATGCAGAGCTAACTTTAAGAAATGGGGCTACAAAGTGTAGTCCACAACATGTGAGTGCAGGGAAGAGCAAACCACAGATCACTTACTACAAAGTAGTCGGTGCCTTGCCACATGCACAATGGAGGACCTTCTTACAGCAACATCAGAGGCACTCCAAGTGGGCAGCTTCTGGTCAAAGGAAATTTAGTATAATTGTTAGGGATTCCTCATCTTCAGAAGAGGAAGGGGAGCAGGGAAGTGCTTAGGAATTGGAGGGAGAAGAAGAGTCAGATGATGAGGTTGTGCAAGTGCCCACATTTCTAGAGAGACGAAAAGAGACAGAGCACAGACGGCGTTCAGCTAGGATAGCTGCTAAAAACGCTGAGCTAATTGGGAGATGCCCTAGCACCTCCTGCATGGGGAATTCAGAGCTATAAATCAGAAGTCAGCTTTTGCCGGGAACAACGACCCTGATACTGATGTTTTCACTCCAAGGGAATATGCTTTGTGCCTGCTGCTAAGGATTTAGTTCATTGCTCACTGTTTCTTTTGGGTCCTTGTAAGAGACTTTAATTTGAGTCTGGATTAAGACTTCCTTGTTTTCTTTTGCACTTTTCAATTGCATTTGCTTATCCTTTGTGTTTGCTGAAGTAAAGCATTTTTCTTTTACTTTCAACATTGTCTAAAGCAGTGCTTCTCAACCTTCCTAATTCCGCGACCCCTTAATACAGTTCCTTTGTGACCCCACAAAGTCTCATAAAGTTATTTTTGTTGCTACTTCATAACTATAGTTTTGCTACTGTTATGAGTCGTAATGTAAATATCTGATATATGTTTTCATTCACTGGACCAAATTTTGCACAAATACCCGATACGCCCAAATTTTAATCCTAATTTTAAGCCCTGAATTCCCCATGCAGGAGATGCTAGGGCATCTCCCAATTAGCTCAGCGTTTTTAGTAGCTATCCTAGCTGAACGCCGTCTGTGCTCTGTCTCTTTTGTCAATTGGGAGTCGTAGTTGCTGGGATTTATAGTTGACCTACAATCAAAGAACATTCTGAACTCCACCAGTTGAACCAAACTTGGCACACAGAACTCCCATGACCAACAGAAAATACTGGAAGAGTTTGGTAAGCAATGACCTTGAGTTTTGGAGTTGTAGTTCACCTACATCCAGAGAGCACTGTGGACTCAAACAATGATGGATCTGGACCAAACTACACGAATACTCAATATGCCCAAATGTGAACACTGGTGGAGTTTGGGGAAAATAGAATCTTGACATTTGGGAGTTGTAGTTGCTGGGATTTGTAGTTCACCTACAATCACAGAGCATTCTGAACCCCACCAACGATAGAATTGGGCCAAACCTCCCATACAGAACCTCCATGACCACCAGAGTGGGCCACAGCAACGCATGGCAGGGACAGCTAGTAATATAATAATTGGAACTCTCTGCCCAAAATGTGGTGGAGTCTCCTTAGAATCATAGAATCCTAGAGTTGGAAGAGACCTCATGGGCCATCCAGTCCAACCCCATTCTGCCATGAAGCAGGAAAATCACATTCAAAGCACCCCCAACAGATGGCCATCCAGCCTCTGCTTAAAAGCCTCCAAAGAAGGAGCTTCCACCACACTCCAGGGCAGAGAGTTCCACTGCTGAACAGCTCTCACAGTCAGGAAGTTCTTCATGTTCAGATGGAATCTCCTTTCCTATAGTTTGAAGCCGTTGTTCCATGTGTCCTAGTCTCCAGGGCAGCAGAAAACAAGCTTGCTCCCTCCTCCCTATGACTTCCCATCACATATTTATACATGGCACTCATCATGTCTCCCCTCAGCCTTCTCTTCTTCATGCTAAACATGCTCAGCTCTTTAAGCCTCTCCTCATAGGGCTTGTTCTCCAGACCCTTGATTATTTTAGTCGCCCTCTTCTGGGCACATTCCAGCTTGTCACTATCTCTCTTGGTGGAGTTTGAGGGAAATAGACCTTGGCATTTGGGAATTGTAGTTTTCTGATGGTCTTTGACAACCCCTCTGGCACCCCCTCGTGACCCTCCCAGGAGTCCTGACCCCCAAGTTGAGAAATGCTGGTCTAGAGGCTGTTTTGGGGGGAGCAACTCAGGACAATAATGCCAAACTCTTAACTTAGTTTGTGGTTTCTCTCTATACATTATAACTGTATTCTCAATTTGTTTCTGACACGATAAAAAATACCCATCCCTGGTGATGGAGGAAGCTGGATAAAACTTACCTGTCAAAGAATAAATAAGAAAGCAGAAGAGCATGGACATCACTGATACCACTACCCAATGGGAGAGCTTCTTGTTGCTCATGCTGCTGTAGATGGCAATGCAGGCTTCATGGCACTGAAACATGAAAAGGTTTGGTGTTCACTGCCAAAAGAACCCCTGAAGGTGCCAGTCACAGATGCAGGTGAAATGTTAGGAGAGAATGCTGTTGGAACATAGCCATACAGCTTGAAAAACTCACAGCAACCCAGATACCTCTTTTTTTTTTTTTGAAGTATTTGGAAAAACTTTTTAAATTTCCTAAAAATTTTGTGGATGAGTGAAACGTTCTGAAATTTGGGAGACTTACAGTTGTAAATGCGTTCTACAAGTGTGGCAAATTCCATCCTGACAGCCATTTTTTAATTTTTTCAATACTCTGAGGATTTTTGTTTTGGGTCAGGAAACATCAAAATTTTCAGGGGGTCCCCTGGGTAATGTCCTTGTAGACGGCCAATTCTCTCACACCAGAAGCAACTTGTTCTGAGGCTGAGAGGGTGTGACTCGCCCAAGGTGCTTAAATTGGAAAAAAATCCTAAAAATCAGTGGATGAATCATAGAATCATAGAATCATAGAGTTGGACGAGACCTCATGGGCCATCCAGTCCAACCCCATTCTGCCAAGAAGCAGGACTATTGCATTCAAATCATCCCTGACAGATGGCCATCCAGCCTCTGTTTAAAAGCTTCCAAAGAGGAGCCTCCACCACACTCCGGGGCAGAGAGTTCCACTGCTGAACAGCTCTCACAGTCAGGAAGTTCTTCCTCGTGTTCAGATGGAATCTCCTTTCTTGTAGTTTGAAGCCATGATGTAGTTTGAAGCCAAGATGAGCAGATCTTTCTGAAACTTAGCAGGAATGATGCCCTACTCATATTCTGTCACTGTGGAGAAATTCAACCTCTCCGGGGGGAGCGGGGAATAAGACACTTTACTTGTAGAAAATTAAAAAAATTCCTAAAAATCAGTGGATAAGCAAAATTTTCTGAAACTTGAGAAGCTTATAGTTGTGAATATGTCCTATGAGTGTCCCAATTTTCATCCTAAGAGCCATCCTAAGAGCCATAGAGTTACAGCCTGTGTTGGACGGGGTGACACTCCCTCTGAAGACACAGGTTCGCAGTTTGGGAATGATCCTGGACTCATCGCTGAGCCTGGAGCCCCAGGTCTCGGTGGTGGCCGGGAGAGTTTTTGCACAATTAAAGCTTGTGCGCCAGCTGCGTCCATTCCTTGGGAAGTCTGACTTGGCCACAGTGGTCCACGCTCTGGTTACATCCCGAATAGACTACTGCAATGCTCTCTATGTGGGGCTGCCTTTGAAAACTTCTCGGAAGCTCCAATTAGTCCAGCGGTCGGCGGCCAGGTTGTTAACTGGAGCTGCGTCTAGGGAGCGTACCACTCCTCAGTTGCACCAGCTCCACTGGCTGCCGATTAGCTTCCGGGCACAATTCAAAGTGCTGGTTTTAACCTTTAAAGTCCTGAACAGTTCTGGTCCAGATTACCTGTCTGAACGTATCTCCTGCTATGAACCATCATGAAGGTTAAGATCATCAGGAGAGGCCCTGCTCTCGATCCCACCACTCTCGCAAACACTGTTAGTGGGGATGTGAGACAGGGCCTTCTCGGCAGTGGCCCCCCATCTGTGGAACTCTCTCCCTAGGGATATCAGGTTGGCCACCTCCCCCCTGTCCTTTAGAAGACAACTGAAGACCTGGCTCTGGGGCCAGGCGTTCGATGAGAGGCCAGCGGCAATAGGAAAAGGAAATTTGGATTTTGCAATATGGATTCTCCTGGCTCGGCTTGGTTTTTACTGGCAAGTTAATCTATTAATTTATTGTTAAATTTCAGTGATGATGATGTACAATGTTTTAAAATGATTTTATGGTGAATTGCAATTTTTATGGTATTTATGCTGTTAGCATCCTCTGATGCTCACGTGAGGCTGCGCTGAGTCCCTCTTGTCGGGAGAAGGGCAGGATATAAATACATAAAGTAAATAAAGTAAATAAATAAATAAAAATGCCAGAGAGTTTAGCCTCTAAATTTCACCCACTGCCACCAATGAAACAAAACTAACAAAAGATAACAAATTTTCAGAAATTATCTGACATTAAAGCACACCCATCGAACTTTTTTGAAATACTTTTTTAGAAATGCACAGGGACATGCAAATTTTGAAATTTGTAAAGTGCTTTTAAACTATCATTAGTGAAAATTTCGTTACTATAGTGAGACTAACAAAAATTCGTTACTATTTTGTCACAGTAATTGCACATGCAATCATTACTACCACTGGAGAAACTTCAGGGGTTCCTATCTCCCTCATTTTTAAAGCTATTGGTAGAGTGGTACAACACATTTACCACTCTTAGCCCACCAAATTACCCCCATATTTTTGGGGAATTTTGACTTGGGTCAAACCTACATATAAACACAACAATAGGAAGAAATTGCTATCTATTACCTGAAATCCAAAGCAGATGGTTGGTATAACGCTGAACATGGAGGTCCAAGAATAGACCCTGGAATGGAAACATGGTGCGTGAGAGAGAAGCACTTGTCCAACTCATCATAAATAGACAAACAAACAGAGCATGTGTTTATCGACTATATAAAGCAAATGGCACCATATGAGATGAAACATGCTGGTAAGGATTTGCTTCCACAAAGCCAATAACTGGAATGAGCAAGCCAACTCAAACGCTGTACTACAATGTCATGTCACACTTCCATGAGTTTGTTTTTACAATGCATTTTAACTGGCAGCTACAGAAACAGTCATGGGTTGCATTTATACTTTAGAGCAGTGTGTCTCAACCTTCCTAATGCCACGACCCCTTAATACACTTCCTCATGTTGTGGTGACCCCCGATCATAACATTATTTTCATTGCTACTTCATCCCTGTAATTTTGCTCCTGTTATGAATCGTAATGTAAATATCTGATATGCAGGATGTGTTTTCATTCACTGGACCAAATTTAGCACAAATACCCAATACACCCCCATTTGAATACTGGTAGGACTGGAGGGGGGATTGATTTTGTCATTTGGGAGTTGTAGTTGCTGGGATTTATAGTGTTTCTCAGGTTGAGAAACACTGCTGTAGAGTTAATGCAGTTTTACATCATTTTAAATGCCATGGCTCAATGCTGTGGATGGCAACTGTAGTTTTACAGGTTAGCTGTAGTTTTACATGGTTTTTAGCTATAGCTTTACATGGGTTTTAGCTGTCATTTTACATGGTTTCTAGCTGTAGTTTTACATGGTTTTAGCTGTCGTTTTACATGGTTTTAGCTGTAGTTTTACATGGTTTTAGCTGTTGTTTTACATGGTTTTTAGCTGTAGTTTTACATGGTTTTAGCTGTAGTTTTACATGGTTTCCAGCTGTAGTTTTACATGGTTTTAGCTATAGCTTTACATTGTTTTAGCTGTAGTTTTACATGGTTTTGGTTATTTTTTACATGGTTTTTAGCTGTCATTTTACATGGTTTTAGCTGTAGTTTTACATGGTTTTAGCTGTAGTTTTACATGGTTTTAGCTGTCGTTTTACATGGTTTTAGCTGTAGTTTTACATGGTTTTAGCTGTTGTTTTACATGGTTTTAGCTGTAGTTTTACATGGTTTTAGCTGTAGTTTTACATGGTTTTTAGCTGTCGTTTTACATGGTTTTAGCTGTAGTTTTACATGGTTTTAGCTGTAGTTTTACATGGTTTTAGCTGTAGTTTTACATGGTTTCCAGCTGTAGTTTTACATGGTTTTTAGCTATATTACATGGTTTTTAACTATAGTTTTACATGGTTTTTAACTATAGTTTTACATGGTTTTTAGCTGTCATTTTACATGGTTTCTAGATGTAGTTTTACATGGTTTTAGCTATAGTTTTACATGGTTTTAGCTGTAGTTTTACATGGATTTAGCTGTAGTTTTACATGGTTTTAGCTGTAGTTATACATGGTTTCTAGCTGTAGTTTTACGTGGTTCTTAGCTGTAGTTTTACATGGATTTAGCTGTAGTTTTACATGATTTTAGCTGTAGTTTCACATGATTTTTAGCTGTAGTTTTACATGGTTTTTAGTTGTAGTTTTACATGGTTTTAGCTGTAGTTTTATATGGTTTCTAGCTGTAGTTTTACATGGTTTTTAGCTGTCATTTTACATGGTTTCTAGCTGTAGTTTTACATGGATTTAGCTGTAGTTTTACATGGTTTTAGTTGTAGTTATACATGGTTTCTAGCTGTAGTTTTACGTGGTTTTAGGTGTAGTTTTCTATGGTTTTTAGATGTAGTTTTTCATGGCTTTTAGATGTAGTTTTTCATGGTTTTTAGATGTAGTTTTACATGGTTTCAGTTGTAGTTTTACATGGTTTTAGCTGTAGTTTTACATGGTTTTTAGGTGTAGTTTTACATGGTTTTTAGGTGTAGTTTTACATGGTTTCCAGCTGTAGTTGTACATGGTTTTTAGGTGTAGTTTTTCATGGTTTTTCAGTTGTAATTTTACATGGTTTTAGCTGTAATTTTACATGGTTTTAGCTGTAGTTTTACATGGTTTTTAGCCTTCTCTGTCCAAAAATGCTGGTGCCTCACCAAGCTACAACTCCAGATTTCCATAGTCTTGAGCTGGAGAAATTCAAATGGTGTCAAACCGCATTAATTCCACAGTATAGACACACCCCTGAATGCCAGCTCAGATATAGCATTTTCAATTTAACAGAATGCAGAGTTATGCATTATAAAAGCATCCAAGAGGAGCCGAATTGAACAACTGCGCTTAGTGGTCAGGTAAAAAACAATGGCACTGCAATAGATTTTACATGAGAGCGATGTAAAGGGATTTCGGAGCTGCCTCCAGGAACCCATTGCGTAAAATGAATTGTCATCTGCCAGAGAGGGAAGATCCGGTCCAGACAACACTGACCCAGGAGGGAGGTGGTGTTCGTGCAGGACGACGTGATCCGTTCGGAGGTAGTACTTCACGACAATAACAAGCATCAGGTAACACGCTGCCAAGGTGCCCAGAATACTGAAATACATATGAGGAAAGATGACCGATTATGCAACAAGGAAGGTCAAACCCAGTGCCCAGCATTTGAAATGGCATTTTCCTGCCATTTCAATTGATAAATTCACTTTAGCTCTACAACAAACAAATACACAGAAATTTCAAGAAGAATGGGAACCCTTTATTGAATTTATAAAGAACCAAAGGAACATGGCCATAGTGGGATTTGTTGACTAATATAATATTAATAGTATATAGATATATTTTGTACTATTTATATACTCCACATTCAAGAGACTTTAGATAATTGATTTATATGTAGTCTTTAATTAGAATAGAAATGATTACAAACCTTGTTATTTAGATATTTTATATTATCTATATAATAATAATTATATATATCTATATAAATAAAAATGTAATGTTCGTTTGTGGGATTAACAGAACTCAAAAACCACTGGGGGAATTGACAGCAAATTTGGACACGATACACTTAACAACCCAATGTATGTCCTTCACTCAAAAAAATAGATTTTGGAAAATAGACCTTGACATTTGGGACTTATAGTTCACCTATAATCAAAGAGCATTCTGAACCTCACCAATGATGGAATTGAACCAAACTTGGCACACAGGAACTCCCATGACTAACAGAAAATACTGGAAGGGTTTGGTGGACATGACTGAGTTTGGGAGTTGTAGTTCACCTACTCCAGAGAGCACTGTGGACTCAAAAATGATGGATCTGGACCAAACTTCACAAATACTCAATATGCCCAAATGAACACTGGTGGGTTTGGGGGAAAAATATCTTGACATTTGGGAGTTGTAGTTGCTGGGATTTATAGTTCACCTACAATCAAAGACTATTCTGAACCACACGATAGAATTGGGCCAAACCTCCCACACAGAACCCCATGTGGGCCACAGCAACGCGTGGCAGGGGACGGCTAGTATTTATATAAATTAAAATGTAATGTTAATTTGTGGGATTAACGTAACTCAAAAACCACTGGATGAATTGACACCAAATTTGGACACATTACAAGTATCAGGCCAACGAATGACCATCACTCATAAAAACACCAAAAAACACAGTGGAAGGGACTTAAAAAGCCAAAAAATAAGAAAATGCATTACAACGCATACGCAAAACCACACACCCACACACACACACGCAAACACACGTACATACACATATATAAATATATATATACATATATATATATATATACACACACACACACACACACATATATACAGACTGGGCCACAGCAATCTGTGGCAGGGGACAGCTAGTGTGTGTGTGTGTGATATATATATATATATATATATATATATATATATATATATATAATAAGCTGTCCCCTGCCACGCGTTGCTGTGGCCCAGTCTGGTGGTCATGGGGGTTCTGTGTGGGAGGTTTGGCCCAATTCTATCGTTGGTGGAGTTCTGAATGCTCTTTGATTGTAGGTGAACTGTAGGATCACGATTCTAGTTACGAGACGTTGTTGTGTTGTTATTGATGTGTCACTACTGTATTTTGTGCTTTCATGGTTTTTAAATCGTTTATTGCTATTTTGTTATGACTGTTTTTGCTATGTTGTGAACCGCGTTGAGTCACCTACGGGCTGAGAAACTGCGGTATACAAGTAAATAAATAAATAAATAAATAAATTCTATCATTGGTGGGGTTCAGAATGCTCTTTGATTATAAATCTTTAAATCTCTTTTCCTGCCCACCAACATTCAGTAAACACAGGACATAGAAATAAGCAAATATCTGTGCTCTTACCTTGTGTACTTCTGGAACCCAATTTCTTTAGGGATGGAAAGAGGGAAGATCACCAGGATGCAAAGGACGGACAAGGTGAAACGATGGTCGATGAACCAATGTTGGTGGGGAAAACCTCCATTCACAGTTTCATTTGGGTAAAAAGTATCGCATACTAGAAAGACAAGGACCAGAAAGAAGATATCAATTTGTGCAATCAGCCTAAACTGATTTTGCGACTATTATATGAGGAACACAAACATACCAATTTTGCCACCTCCAAGATTGGGGAGTGACTATTACGCAGTGGCAACTATTATATGAGGAACACAAAAATACCAATTTTAGCACCTCCAAGATTGGGGGAGTGACTATTACACAGTGGCAACTATTATATGAGGAACACAAAAATACCAATTTTGCCATCTCCAAGATTGGGGGAGTGACTGTTATGCGGTGGCAACTATTATATGAGGAACACAAAAATACCAATTTTGCCACCTCTAAGATTGGGGGGAGTGACTATTAGGCAGTGGCAACTATTATATGAAGGACACAAAAATACCAGTTTTACCACCTCCAAGACTGGGGGAGCGACTATTATGCAGTGGCAACTATTATATGAGGAACACAAAAATACCAATTTTGCCATCTCCAAGACTGGGGGAGCGACTATTATGCGGTGGCAACTATTATATGAGGAATACAAAAATACCAGTTTTGCCACCTCCAAGATTGGGGGAGCGACTATTATATGAGGAACACAAAAATACGAATTTTGCCACCTCCAAGATTGGGGGAGTAACTATTACACGGTGGCAACTATTATATGAGGAATACAAAAATACCAGTTTTGCCACCTCCAAGATTGGGGGAGCGACTATTATATGAGGAACACAAAAATACGAATTTTGCCACCTCCAAGATTGGGGGAGTAACTATTACACAGTGGCAACTATTATATGAGGAACACAAAAATACCAGTTTTGCCAGCTCCAAGATTGGGGGAGCGACTATTACGCAGTGGCAACTATTATGTGATAAAGTATGGTATATGTAACATCAACAAATTTTATGTTTAGACTTGGGTCCTATCAAAAAGATGTACAGAGATATTCCAAAATCTAAAAACAAATCCCAAACCCCAAGCTTTTTGGAGAAAGGATACTCAACCTGTGTTGTTATTTTTTTAGATGATATGTTATAATAGAATGAAAACATTAGTAGCACTTTGTAGGCCACCAAGTGCTAATGCTTTCAGTGGACTCACATTTTTCCAGCTGGTCCCCCACAACGCGGAGGAAGGCCACCGAGATCATGAAAAGGTTCAGGATGAAGCAGACTTCGCAAACAGTGTACGGTGGAGGAACAAAGGTTTCCCTGACTTCTCAGTTGATTCGGTGCTAGATAGATAGATAGATAGATAGATAGATAGATAGATTGATAGATAGATAGATAAAAAGATAGATAGATGATAGATAGATAGATAGATAGATAGATAGATAGATAGATAGATAGATAGATAAATAGGGCTGGGGAGGGATTTAAATTGGAAAAGAGAGAAGGGAGGGAGAAAAAGGAAGGAAGGGAGGAAAGAAGGAAAGAAGGAAGGAAGGAAGGAAGGAAGGAAGGAAGGAAGGAAGGAAGGAGAGGAGAGGAGAGGAGAGGAGAGGAGAGGAGAGGAGAGGAGAGGAGAGGAGAGGAGAAGGAAGGGCCATCCAGTCCAACCCTTAAGAGATAGAGAGACAGACAGACAGATAGGAAGAGAGATAGATAGATAGATAGATAGATAGATAGATAGATAGATAGATAGATAGATAGATAGATGGGAAGGTAAGTAACCACACACAGGCTAAGGTTACTGGAAACACCAATGGCTACAATGATCAGTATAAAGATTCCTTGCATGACGGTGGGAAGGATAGGATAGGATAGGATGGATGGATGGATGGATGGATGGAGAGAGAGAGAGAGATAGGATGGGGAGAGGGAGAAAGAAAGAGAGAGATAGGATGGAGAGAGAGAGAAAGAGAGATAGAGATAGATAGATAGATAGATAGATAGATAGATAGATAGATAGATAGGTAGATAGATAGATGGGGAGGAAAGAGGAGGAAGGAAGAAAGAGGAAAGGAGAAGAAGGAAAGAAGGAAGAGAAAGAGAAAGAAGAAAAGAAAGGAAGAAAGGGAAGAAAAGAAAGGAAGGGAAGAAAGAGAAGGGAAGGAAGGAAGGAAGGGAAGGAAGAGGAGAAGGAAGGGAGAAAGGAAGAAGGGAAAAAAAAAGAAAGAAGGAATGGAGGGAGAAGGAGGAAGAGAGAGAAAGAAAAGATAGACAGAGGAAATGGAGAGAAGGAAGGAAGAAGGATGGAGGAGAGAGGAGGAAGGGGAAAAAAGGAAGGAAGGAAGGAAGGAAGAGAAGGAAGGAAGGAAGGAAGGGAAGGGAAAGAGGAGGAAGGAAGAAAAAAGGGAGGAGGAAGGAGGGAAGAGAAGGAAGGAAGGAAGAAGGAAAGAGGAAGGAAGGAAGGACGGAGGAAAAGAAAGAAAGAGAAAAGAGAAAGAAAAAGAAGGAAGAGAAGAAGAGAAGAAAAGAAAAGAAAGAAAAAGAAAAGAAGAAAGAAAAGAAAGAAGGAAAGAAGAAAGAGGAAAAAGAGAAAGAAGAAGAAGAAAAAAAAAAGAAGGAGGGAGGAGGAGGGAGGAAGGAAGAAGGAAGGAGAGGAAGGGAGGAAGGAAGAAAGGGAGGGAGGAAGGAGGGGAAGGAGGAAGGAAGGAAGAGTAAGGCAAGGAAGGAAGGAAGGAAGGAAGGAAGAAGGAAGGAGGAAGAAGGAAGAGAGAAGGAAGAAAAAGGGAGGGGAGGGAAGGAAGGAAGGAAGAAGGAAGGAAGGAAGGAAGGAGAAGGAAGGAAAGGAAGGAAGGAAGGAAGAGGAGAGGGAGGAAGGAAGGAGAAAAAGGAGGGAGGGGAGGGAGGGAGAGAAGGAAGGGAGGGGGGAAAGAGAAAGGAAAGAGGAGGAAAAGAAAGGAGGGAAGAGGAGGAGAGGAGGAGGAAGGAAGGAAGGAGAAAAAAGAGAGGGAGAGGAAAGAAAAGAGGCGGAAGTAATTGAGGGAAAGAGAGGAGGGGAGGAGGGGAAAGAAATAGGCAAAAAAAGGAAAGAGGAGGAAGAAAGAGGGAAGGAGAGAAGGAGAGGAGGGAGGGAAGGAGGAAGAAAGGGGCAAGAAAGAAAGGAAAGAAGAATGGAAAGACGGGGGAAAGGGAGAGGGGGAAGAGAAAGGAGAATGGAGAGAGGAAGAAATGGATGGAGGAACCGCTGAGACATATGAAAAACATTGAGTGTCTGAAGAGGCAACCATCATAGAAAGGCAGACAGACAGAAAACAAAACATTTTGGCAAGAAAAATCAATGTAAAGATGATCAAATGCTATTTGTTCAAGATCAACACTTTGGGACAAGAAGAGCAGTGCAAATGTTTTGCAATTCCCAAATGTGACCCTAAACTGTCATCAAATCAACCCAAAGGATTTCTGGGGCACTGGAGATCAAGGTCTTATTTCCTACTATTCCGCTTCCTATCGCTCCAATATAAACATGGAAAAAAGTTTATTAAACTGCAGAAACATTGTTTTTGTGGGACATCCTGCAGCACATTTTGCTCTAGTTTTTCAGTGGTTCAACCAATTCAACCTAGTTTGTGGCAGCCGCACAAAAAAGTTTCTGGAGTACAACAATTTCTTTCAAAGTAAGGGTCGCACAACTAAACAGGAAAAAAATACTTTCAAAGCATATGCCGATTTTTTTTCCAAATGTTGTTACATCTATATAAATAAAAATGTAATGTTCATTTGTGAGATTAACATAACTCAAAAACCACTGGATGAATTGACACAAAATTTGGACACAACACACCTAACAGTCCAATGAGTGTCCATCACCCATAAACACACACACACACACAAAACCCCAGAAGAACAGACTTAAAAATCCCAAAAAATACACCATATATACATACACACATACACTCATATACATATGCACATGCACACATTCATACACACACATGTATATATATGCACAATCACACACAAATACACACATACATATACACATGCACACACATATACATATCCACATACATACATACATATATACAAACAAATATGCATATAGACAAGCACACACATATACACAATATGCATGTACACATATAAACACACAAATACACAAATATATACACACACATATATACACACCCATATATACACCTGCCTATATATATATATATATATATAAACAAACACACATATATGCACAAATATATATACACATATACACAAATATGCATGTATACATATACACAGATATATGCACACATATATACACCTACATATATATATATATGTAAACATACATATATACACAAATATATGCACACATATATACACCTGCATATATATATATAAGCAAACACATATACACAAATATATACACACATATACACAATACGCATGTACACATATAAACACAAAAATACATAAATATACACACATATATATACACCTACATATATATATATATATATATATATATATATATACACAAATATATACACACATATACACAATATGCATGTACACATATAAACACACAAATACACAAATATATACACACATATATACACACACACATATATGCAAACACACATATATACACAAATATATACACACATATATACACAAATATACACACACACACACACACACACATATATATATAAGTAAACACACATATATACACAAATATGCATGTATACATATAAACACACAAATACACAAATATACACACACATATATACACAAATATATATATATATAAAAGCAAACACATATATATACAAATATGCATGTATACATAAAAACACACAAATACACAAAGATATACACACATATATACACCTACATGTGTATATATCTAAGTAAACACACATATATAAACAAATATATACACACATATACACAAATATTCATGTACACATATATACGCAAATATATACACACATATGTATGTATACATATAAACACATAAATACACAAATATACACACACATATATACACCTACATATATATATATATATATATATATATATATATATATATATATAAGCAAACACACATATATACACAATATGCATATACACATATAAACACACAAATACACAAATATATACACACATATATACACAGATATATACACACACATACACACATATATACTCACACAAACACATACAGACTGGGCCACAGCAACGTGTGGCAGGGGACGGCTAGTAAGGTTATATAATCATAAAATCTGAGTAAAATTATTACAAAATGAAAACTTTTTGTCGTAATCGCAAGCACAGCTTGTGTCATTTTAATCTTGGGTGCAGCCCATTAGATTTCTCATAGCCGCAGGGCCTTTTCGGTGCATGTCTATGGCTCTGTCCCATCATTATGGGAAAGGTGGAGATGAAATAAAATTGTTATGGAAATAGAAGATCTCGCATGGCACTTACCAACTCCACAAGAATGGCCGGTGTGATCCCTCCGGCCTTATTGAACGCCCAGGGGAAGTTGAGGAGTCCGGCTCCGAGGGCGGATTTCAGCATGATGAAGACGGCCGCGGCCGAAGAGAGATGTGGGCTTCCCAGCTCCAAGGGGGGTCTGGCTAGCAAGCTGATGCTCTCCCTAGCCAACTCCTCCATATCTGGAAAGAAAAATAGCAGATCTAAGTTGACTTCAAACAACGTGTGGCACATTCTTCTGACCCTTGTTAAGGTCATGCTGGTGGCACAGTATGTTAAACTGCTGAGCTGCTGAACTTGCTGACCAAAAGGTCACCAGTTCAAATCCGGAGAGCAAGGTGAGCTCCCACTGTTAGCCCCAGCTTCTGCCAACCTAGCAGTTCGAAAACATGCAAATGTGATTAGAGCAATAGGTTACTACTCACTTAGGTGATCCCTTATTGTCAGAGTAGGATAGTCTTCCAAGGTGGGTCCGTCGGTGACTGTGGAGCCCTATTCTTGATCTGCATCTTCTCCCACAGTGAGGGCATCAGTTTCCATGCTGAAGGTGGTTCCGGTCGGGGTTGGCTTGACACACCTTTCTCTTGACACGTTTCTCTCTTTCACCCTCCATTCGTGCCTCTTCAAATTCTACAGCACTGCTGGTCACAGC